AGGCAGCAAATCCAGACGCCTCCGAGCAGCAGTTTGAAGTGAGGATATTCTTTCTCTCTTAAACATTTAGAATTAGGTGTCGGAGAAGTCTGCTTTTTGATCAAAAAGTAGTTTCTCTGCTGTGATGCCTCTGCCGGTGGGGTGTGTGTCCAGGGCAACCCGTCACCCCTACGCCGACCCCACTGACCGGAGGAGCTTCTTACTGGGGACCTCCCCTGCCGCCCCGCCGTCCACCTGCCTCACGGCGCTTCCCCCTCCTGAAGGAAACCCTCCTCTGTGGCACTGATCTACTTGTGGCCACACTGCGTGTACTCAGGGTCCTTGCTCCCCAGCCCCCCTCGGCTGTGCAGCAGGCTAGACTCTGCCCTCCTCACCCCACGGCCATGGCCGTCCGGGACTGGCCACACCTGACGGCCTCCGGGAAACCCTCCCTTGGTCCTTGTCTGACTCCCTTTTCTCCCCCGGGCACCCCTCTTGGCCCATGAGCTCCCCCACCAGGTCTCCTCACTCCCACCTCAGCTGCATCCAGATAGGCGGCTCCTTGGAGCACGTCCTAGGCACCCAGACTCCACGCTTCCAGAATTCAGTCACCTTGTGGTGTCACACCAAGTGAGGACCCCGGCAGCCATCCAGGACGCCTTCCTCTGCTCCTCCCCTCCTCCCACCCCATCTCAGGGCCCCGGCTGTCCCCCCACCCCACCCCCAGCAGCCTCCCCAGCTCCGGGCTGTCCTTTCTCGCGTGGAAGCAGCAAGTCTCACTGTCCTCTCCCACGCCGCCCTCCGCCCTGCTGTGAGCGGTCACCCTGGATGACCAGGGCACCCCCCCCACCTTCAGTGACTTACCACGTCCACGGCCCTCCCACCACCTCCCTGTGCACCGGGGCACCCTTCCCTGCAGCCTCGTCCACCGCACCGTGCCTGCGGAACCTCCGCCAGGCTGCCCCTCCTGCCTGGACTGGCACCTCTCGGGAGGCAGGCACCTGCGCTCGCCTGGCCTGCCTGCAGCCTTGTTCTGTTCTCTTGTAAGACGACAACCCGGGTTTCCCGTCCGCCTCTCTCCCTGCACAAGGACGGAGGGCTCCCCAGCTTGGTGTCCTGCACCCCCAATACCCAGCACGGGGTGTAAGTGCGCGAGTTAGCTCTTAGTCTGCAGATGAGGCCCCACAGAGCAGTGCAGCTGAGCGTCGAACTCCAGGTTCTTGCCCCGACTCCATGCTGTTTGCACCCCTCCATAGCTCGCTGTGTCCCTGTGGGGTGGGAGGGGGCAGGCAAGGCTCACCTTGGGGAGGTTACAGTGGGTGACAGGAGCCCCGCTAGAGCCCTAGAGGCCATCCTCAGGGTGGGAGTGAGGGACAGTGTGGGGGCCAGGTGCAGAGGAGTTCAGACCCTCTCAAAACATACTGAAAAAAGAAATGAACGGAACAAGGCACCCTGTCATCCCAGCCGAGTGTGGCCGGGGAGGGCCCTGGGCACCCACTCTCTGCCGGACTGCAGGCCGCTCACTTCCTCTTTGCCGCCACCATGTACTTTATCGCGAAGAGCTCCTCGTGTTGGGGTGGCGGTCGAATCTTCAAAGGGCTCAGCCGTGATGACGCTTGTGGTTACTGGAGCAGTCGCTCTGCTTCGTCCTTCCAGAGTGGCCCCAGGGCAGAGCTCTGGTGGACGGAGGCAGGTCCCCCAGGACAGCTCTGGCAGGGATGACTCGCTGGAGAGGGAGACGATGCTGGGCAGGGGGCTTCGTCTGTTCTCATGTAACCTCTCTGCCAGCCTTGAGAGGGTCCGGAGAAGGAGCACGACAGAGCTGAGCTGTTCCCCCACATCTGCTTTCCTGCTGCCCCCACGAGCAGGGCTGCGTTGAGCATGCTGGGCAGCTGCCCGCCCCCACCCAGGAGTGGAGCACCTGGGGTCAAAAGGGAGCCATACCAGACCATCGCCCATCCCCGGCTCGTTTAGCTCTGGGACAACTGGGATCTGAAAGACCCCATTCACGGGTTGGGGCCCTGTCCAGAAATCCGTGGTGCCCCTCAGAGGAGGACGAAGCGAACGCCCCACCCCTGTCTTGAGAGCTCCCCCAGCAGCAGAGGCCCCAGACTCCTGCAGGAAAACCGCAGACGTTGCTCCCATCAGTCCCCACTGGAGGGGACTCTGTGTCCTTGCATGAGAGGAGGGGCACGTTACCCATTTCTGATGACCTCCCTCAAGGAAAGAAACCGTATGAGCCAGGAAGGACCGTGGTCACCACCCTGGCTTTATGGGTGCAGACTAAGGCCCAGAAGTTAGGATACTTGCCCAATACTGCCAGCGAATCAGTAACAGAACGAAAACCCAGTGCTCTTCCCTGGCTGGGCAACAGTGTGGGAGTCTATGCAGGCCCGGTTCTTGTTTGTACTCACATGTTAGGACTAGTGGTCCCCTCAAGGGCGGCTGTTAGGTTTACAGGAGACTGTCCTGGGGAAGCACTTAACAGTGCTCGTTAACCATGTGAAAAGCCAGCAGAGAATGAGCTCTGTCTCCACAGCTGGTCTGAACCAGGGGGGAGCAAGCTGGAAGACAGAGAAAGAAAGGGAGTGCGTCCGGCCCAGCATGTGCAACGGCCGGGGCGGCGGGGGTGGGCAGGGGCGGCAGCTAGATTTGTATGATCTACTCAGGGGCGTTGTGGGCCCCTCGACTTCACACCTTCCCTAGTGTTCTCTGAAACCCCCAGTGCCAGTCCTCCCTCTAGACCACGACCAGCAGAACCCTCGCCGGGGCGGAATCCTCCGGAGGAGTCAGAGGGAGCACGGCCACCCCCGCAGCCTGGGCTGACGCCGCTCCAGGCAGCCAGTCGGTTATGCCTAAAACAGCTACTTTTTGACTGCTGTCGCCAATATGCTTTGAAAAGTGTCGGAAATCCAAACTTCCCTAGAGGGTGAGCTATTTAAAGAACGTGTTCATGTGTCAGGAGTTAATGGGTTGGCCGGGTGAAGGGTATTAAGGCGGGCACGTTCTGCATGGAGCACTGGGTGTTACATGCGAACAATGAATCATGGAACACTGCATCAAAAAAAAAAAAATCTGTTTTTAATGCTTATTGGTACTTCGGCATTAAAAACTACAAATGTCTTATTAAAGTTTCCACTTGAAATGCACAATTTTACCTCATTTTATTGTAAGGAATTGTTACAGAAAATGCAAGTATCAGTATTTGAAAATACATTCCATTAGGAGGACTCCAAAGAAACAACGCCGATCACAGCGTCCTGGTCCTACACACGACACCGAGGTCCCGCGCTGCGCACCGCGCCCTGGACGGCCTGGAAGCCCAAGCGGCCCACCCGCACGTGCGCCTTCAGGTCCTGCCCCCGGCCCCACGCATCTGCCCCAAGGGGACAAGCCACGAAGTCGAGCGGTCCAGGTGTGTGTTGTGTGCAACCGGCCAGCGTGTGATTCATACCCCAAAGGGACCGTCCGGGCAGCGAAAGTCGTTAAGGCATCCATGACAACTTCGGGGAATCCGCTGAGTGTTTTTATCTCGTCGAGCCGTCAGCTCTTCAGAGCTACTTTATTAAATCACCATGAGAATGTGGCCTCCTCGCCCCTCCTCTTCCGCGGCTGGCGAGAGGGTCCCGGCGCCGCAAGAGGCCTTGTGCCAGGAGCCACTTCGGTGCCGTCGCGGCAGCGTCTCCCTCACCCGCGCAGGATCACCTGCCACCTGGGGGCTCGGTGCCCCTTTCGGGTCTAAGCATCACCCAGCCCCTCCCAGGCTTTCCCTGCACCTCGCGCCCAAGGGCAAGATCAGCGGGAATCATTCGGCGGCGCGGGCGGGGGCCGCGAGCGGAGCGGGGGCGAACCCGCCGGCGCGCTGGGCTCCGCGCAGGCACGGCCACAAACGAGCCGGGGCTGAGGTGGAGGACTAGCGGGCGCGGGGACCCCACTGCCGGCGAGGGCACGGCGGGCGGGCCTCGACCCCACCGCGGGCTGGGGCGGGCGGCGCGCGGGCAGCAGGCTGCAGCTGCAACCGCCCGTTCTCCTGCATCACGCGGAGACACTCGCCACCGTCTCCGAGAACGAGAAGTCCTACGTGCAGGCACTTGAGCTGGGTGGTGGCCCGCGCCGGAGGAGCGCGGCACGCCGGCCACTGGGCGCAGGCGCAGCGCGGGCAGAGACCGCGGAGGACGGCGTCCCGCGGGCCGGGCGGTGAGCCGGCGGCAGGTAGGGCCGGCGCCGCGTCACAGCGTTCGCGGCTGCACACGCCGAGTTTCGGAGACGTTATTCCTGCCGCCGAGCTCCTCACCCCTGGCAGCTCCGAATAAAACTGAGATTCCGCTGCCGGTGTTTACGCTACGGATTAACGGTGACGAGAGCAGCCCTGCAGTCCCACAGCGCGCCGAGTGCCAGCAAGGGCGTGCCGGGGGCTCCCGCGCGCAGCCCAGCCAGCACCCCCGCGGCCCCGGAGGCGCCCAGGCTGTGGAAAGGGGCCCCGTCGACGCGTACAAGGGCGCAGCCTGAAGCCGGCGCCGAGCTCACGAGACGCTCCCCCGATCCGTGGCCGCCCGGTACCACAGCCGTCCCTGGACTCGTGAAGAAACAAGCTGGACTCGACATATTCTGAACAGGCCTTTTAAGATTTTTCAGTGCAGTAAGAGGCAAGATTGTTACTGAAACTGGTAAAGGCAGGGCGGGAGCTAGACCGTCAGCCTGCCCCCCGATGGCCTTCCCGTCCTCCAAGCTCCACCGGGAACATGGAAAGAGCGAGTGTCAAAGGACCAACTGCCTCGATTCCCATCTGAAGCGTAATTATCTTACCTTCCGACTACAGACCCAGGCCACCTCACGAAGCCCTGCTCCGCGTGGCCCCGACAGGCACCAGAAAACGGAAGCCGACCACAGGCCTCACGGAGGCAAGTGTCTGCCAAGACCAGCTGTTCCTCTGTAAGAAGTCTACAGGAAGTGTGTCACAGACTTAGGGGCCTGGGGAACTCTTCTGATTTTTTCTTTTAAACATTGTGCACAAGCTCGTATTAACATAGAAAGCTTATATATTTCATAAGTCACAGAAATATTAAAAAGTAGCACTCTGGTTTATCAGCTCATTTTACACACACATTTAGGCAACGAAATGTATAAATCTACAGCAACAGAAAGAACATACTACTACCCAAAAAAATATTTAGTCCCTTTACACATATACCCATACTTCATTAATGCAAAAACAATGTAGTGGTTGTTAAATGTCTGAAAAATCAGCATTACGATCGAGACTGTTAATCTCTGAGAATAACTTAGGAACACACATGTTCATCTCAGGGTTTCTTTCTTCAAAGCAGTGCTAGAAGTTTCTCTTTAAATGTACATTTTTAAAAAACTGGCCAAACCTTCCAAGGGAGACGTTCAGCGCCACAGGGTTAGCATACGCACTAGCAGCGACTAGGGCCAGGAGGCTCTGGGGCCTCATTCCGCGGACGAGCCAGCGTGTTCCCCACCGGCTCGCACCTGCGGGGCGGGGCAAGCCGCTGGGAACTCGGGATTCCTGCACCTGCCGGCCTGAGGCTGCACGATCCCCTCCCCACCGCTGGGCCCGGGTGACACTCTTGCTCCCAGGGACACTCCGCAGCTCCCTGTGCACTGAGGTCCCATCAGAGCTGATCATCAGAATCACTAATGCGTGGATGTGTGAGGCTACTTCTGAATGTGGATTTTTAAATCGGAATCAGCCATAATGCAGCTATGTTTTTTAAAAAGTGCAGCACAATCAAAGTGCACCTCCACCACCATGCCCCGGTGGCAGAGCGAGGCCTCCACAGACAGGACACAGCCAGACGAGAGAACGAGACGCTGCACTCCTGAACCCAGGAGCGTGAAGACGGGTAAAGCTTTCAGTTGTTAAGGCCACGATTTTTCAGCTCTCATCTTTGAACCCTGTTTAGAAAGATTTCACCTTTTTTAAAGGGGCAGCTCACTAAAAAATCTCAGCTTAGGTTTAAAAAAAAAGGACTTCGGGCAAGAGTATCCTATGATCTTTATGAAAACGCTGCGCACTGCCACTTACCCAGAGTGAAGACAGCGCTCACCGAGCGGCCAGACGCCCGCCTCCCCCTGCGGGGCTCTGACCACCCGTCCGCCCGCCCGCGCGGGAAGACCACGGCAATGCTCGACACGGACACTAAGCTACTGGGAGGGGACTGGTTTTCCGAGTGTCCTCGTAAGTTGCAAGCAGACTGGGGTCCAACTCCTGTCACAGGTGCCACTGAGGCGACAAGGCCTGCCCCCCCGAGTCATCCAGTGACCTCGATCCCAGTCGGACACACGGACAACCCACCGGATCCTTGAGATGGGGTCAATCACAGCGGGGTCCTTAATCGCTCAGTCTGTTCCGCAGGAAGACGGGCCGGCAACCCCTGCTCTGGGTGGGTCGGGCTGGAGAGCAGAACAGCTGCTGGGGAGGCGACCGGGGTGTGGCCTGGGGGCTCCCTAAGAGACCCCCCCCAGAGTCAGTACATCAAAGCAAATGTTGCAAACTCGCACGGGCTTGTTCAGGTCAAACTTTATAATAGGAATCTCCTTGGTCGAGCATTTATGGCAAAGAAGGCGTCCGCAGTGGCGGCTGTGGAAGCAAAGCAAGGGGGTGTGAGGGGGGCCTCCAGCGGCGCCCATCAGGTGTGCCTGCCGCACACCAACCCGGGTCCCACCGCGTCCGTGCGAACGCGATCCTGGCCTGCGGGCACGTCACAGGGCTGGCGAGGAAGGCTCTTCAGGATCGAGCGCCCCTCAGCGACAGCCAAGGAAGGGCTCCTTCTGCCGGGGCCCGGGGCCCGGCTCCTCGGCTCTCGGAGGGGGAGGCCCCACCCTCCCCGCGCACCGCCTGCCGCGGCATCGCCCCACCTGCTCGGGCTCCGCGCGGGGCCTTACCAGTGATGTTTGCGAGTCGTGACTCCAAACTTGGCGGCACACTCGTAACAGGTGGACCCGTCGCACCACGGAGGCTCCTTGGACAGCATGTCTGCGAGGACAGGCGGAGAGAACCCGTCCCCATCAGCGAGCGTGCCAGGTGGCCCGGGGGCCATCGCAGTGACACGGGGGCGCAAAGGCAACGCGCTCTGAGCCGTCAGGGGAGGCGTACTGCGGAGGCCCTGGAGCCCCAGCACTTGCCAGGAGGGCTGCGGCAGGAGGGGCGGTGCTCGAGGCGTCCGCGGGGGGCGCGGGGGGTCGGGCGGCCAGACCGGGAGGCCCGCCGGGAGAGACCGGCGGCCGGGGAGACCGGGGGGGCCGCACGGCGAGGGGCCCGTGGGGGAGGAGCAGGTCTGCGAGAGCGGGTGGCTGCAAAGGTGGCGGAGGGGCCAGGTCCGTGGCGTGGGCGCCGGCAGAAGGGGCGGGTGAGGGCCCGGTGTGAGCTGCGGAGCCCTCGGGCTGGGAGCGATCAGCACGGGTAGCAGAACCACGCCAGCCCTCCGCCACTCGCAAGTGCTCGGCCGCGGACGCCGCTGAGCTCACGGGGAGGGGGCAGCGCGCGACCGGTCTCCGCCAGCACTTTCCACACCGGCGCCCGGGAGGCGGCGCCGGTTCCGAGCTCTGAGAGGCCGGCCCACGTGCACGGCAAACAGCGCTCCGCTGCGGGGCGCGCGGGGACGCGGGCCACGTCACCCACGCCAACGTCACGGAGCTGCGAGGAGCCTGGGAGCGCGTGCCTCTGCCCAGACTCTGGCCTAGTAACGCCGTGCCGCTGCCACCTCGGCGGGGACGCGACGACACTGGCGAACACGAGACCACCCAGAGTGCACGCTCCTCGCTACAGAAGGAACGGAGGACGGGTCAGTGGGGCAGAGGCAGAGGGCCGTCCCGAAGGACGCAGAGCCTGCATCGGTGGAAGGATGAGGGATTGCAGAGAAGCTGCCGGGGGCCGAGCAAGGGTGACCTGCCCCCACGAACAGACGCATTTGTGAGTTTACGGATCGCGGTGGGACCGGGGGGCGGGGACGGACGGGGCCCCGCGTGCTCTGGAGACTGCTCACGGCCCCTCTCGCAGCACAGCCCTCGCGGCAAGTCCTATACGGGGCCAGGGAGACCGCGGGTGCGTTCTGGGGTTCCGAGGTCACCAGGACATCTGAACGACCCACGCCGTGACGGTGCCTGCCCTGCAGGGGCAGGAAGGAGCCACTCACCTAACAGTCTGAACAGAAGCTGCTTGGTGGCAACCTGGTAGTTGAAGATGTTGACTCCCTGGTTATTGCTGACCCCAAGGCGAGCCCCGGAGCGGACGACGGCACGGCACAGGTTGGCGTTCCCTTTCATGTATGCCAAGAGCAGCACTGGAAAACAAAACCACAGGCAGGGCTCCTTCCCACCCAGGCCCAGCTGAGGACAGGACAGGCCCTGACCGCGTGTGTCGGCAAGGTCCCCACGCACACTCTGGGGCGACGTCCACGGGAGATGCAGCTTTGCCCAGCTGAGGGCCACCGAGCGCTCTGCTCCAAGAGAAGTGAGCGGGGGCCACACGCTGAAGAGAACATTGGCGTGAGCACAGGGGGTCAAAGCTCTCTCGTCACCTAAAGACCGGTGACGTGTGTCCACAGGGGGAGAAGCATCAGCACGCTCGTCCTCCAGAAGTCCTTCCACCGCAGGGAGGCCTCTTGTGTGCAGGCGCTGGCCCCACCGGCCCCGTGGGCGCCCAGGCTCTGGCCGGGCCTGCTGCTGGCCCCGCGCTTCCCTCCCTGGCACCCTGCGTTTAAATCCTTTCACTTCGTTCTCTGAACGGTGCAGTCGGACAGGGGTCACTTCACACGAGGAAAGAGGCACAGAGAGGATACAAAATTACCCAGTGTCACCACCCAGAACAGGACAGAGCCAGGCACCAGGACCCAGGCCTGGGTACTGGAAGCCTGAGGAGAAGCGCCTGCCTGCCCGTCGCCGGCTCCTGGACAGCGGCCTGCGTGGCAGCGGGTGCTGGGCCCGCAGCTCACTCCCGCGGCCGACTGCCTCGGGCTCAGGCTCATCACAACACATTCATGGGGCGAGACCAAGAACGAGGACAGAGTACTTGGTGCCGCCAAGGTTCGGGACGCTCCTGGGAGACTACACCGCTGACAAAGGCCGAGGCGGCTCTGTTTGGCGGGAGGGAGAACGCACGGGAACACGGCAGCAGCACAAGGCTCCGGGGCCCCGGACTGGGAACAGAGAGATGTGGGTTTCACCTGTTTCCCTACTTGAAAAATGGGGACACGCTACCTGCACTGCTGACGAGAATATAAATGCAAGAGTCCATCACAAACGTGGTGACAGCTACACGAATTAACGCCGTGACCGTGGGCAGCCGAGCAGCACCACGGGAGGGGCCTCAGTAAGATGTCCACCCCACTCTGTGTGCAACTGGCCACGTTTTCAAAGCCATCAACACACACGGCAGCATTCCCTCCTCCTGAGGCGCGTGCAGGGACAGACAAAGGGGAGAGGAGGACCGAAAACAGACGGGCAGGCGTGCAGACAGGAGCGTATGGCCTGGGAGGGGAGCTCTAGACGCTTCCGACGTGTGTGTGTCCCAGTGAGACACTGTGGAGCGCCGCGGCGGCACCGACAACAGATGCTCCGAGAACCCCGCCCAACGCGCCAGGCGGAGCGCCCTTCGAGGGTGGCATGTGCGCCCGGGCTCTTGTCCTTCCAGGAAGCGGGAGCCCAGCGAGACGGGACATCCTCACAGGCTGACGTACCTGTGTTTCCTTCCGCGTCCGGTTTATCCAGAGGATACTCAGGCATGCACTCCAGGAACAGCTCGAAGATGGTTGCCGCGTTCTCTCTGCCATACTGCCCCAGGATGTGCAGTGGTGACTGGCCTCTGACGAAGCAAGTGGGAAAAGCTGGGTTACAGGTCAGCCACAGTCCCCATGCACAGAAGATGTAACCTGAACTCTGTGATGCCGGATAAATTTAAGGACACCTAGTAGGTCACAGAAGTTTTTCCACAAACTATTTTTCAGAAAGAAACATTCCGAGGTACCAAAATTGGTCAAGTGCCCTAGTGGCCAGTTACTTTTTTTTTTTTATTATGTTACGTTAGTCACCATACAGTACATTAGTTTTTGATGTACTGATCCACGATCCACTCTTCTTGTGTAACACCCAGTGCTCCATGCAGTACGTGTCCTCCTTAATACCCATCACCGGGCTAACCCATCCTCCCACCCCGCCTCCCGTCTAAAACCCTGTTTGTTTCTCAGAGTCCATAGTCTCTCATGGTTTATCTCTCCCTCCGATGTCCCCCCTGTTCATTTTTCCCTTCCTTCTCCTCCATGCTATTCCTTATGTTCCACAAATAAGTGAAACCATATGATAATTGACTTTCTCTGCTTGACTTATTTCACTTAGCATAATCCCCTCCAGTCCCATCCATGCTGATGTAAAAGTTGGGTATTCATCCTTTCTGATGGCTCAGTAATATTCCATTGTATATATGGACCACATCTTCTTTATCCATTCGTCTGTTGAAGGGCATCTCGGCTCTTTCCACAGTCTGGCTATTGCGGACATTGCTGCTATGAACATTGGGGTGCATATGGCCCTTCTTTTCACTACATCTGTGTCTTTGGGGTAAATACCCAGGAGTGCAGTTGCTGGGTCATAGGGTAGCTCTATTCTTAATTTTCTGAGGCACCTCCACACTGTTTTCCAAAGTGGCTGTACCAACTTGCATTCCCACCAACAGTGTAAGAGGGTTCCCCTTTCTCCACAACCTCTCCAACATCTGTTGTTTCTTGTGGCCAGTTAGTTCTACAGCGTGGACCAGGGACCCCTGCAAGGCACAGTGACCGCAGCTGTGAGGGGCAGGCCAGGAGACGTGGAGCCCAGGCCTCTGCTCCAGACCACACATAACTCACCGTAGATTAAAGGCTTCAGCGTCCACGGTGCACTCGGTCAGGAGGACCCGGATGTTGTTGAGCCGCCCGTGCATGACAGCAAGATGAAGAGCTGGAGAGTAAACCCTCTTACTGTGCAAGCCCAGGAGCCCACACAGGAAATATGGACGGCTCACAAACCTCCCCTGGAACGGGACGAGGCTGGAGCAGCCCCTGTCTACTCACACAGCCATCCCTTCCAGTCTTCACCACCCCCAGGACGGAGCTGTGCATACAGCCTCGTAAGACTGTGCTTTCTGCTTCCACAATCACCCAGAGCTGAGACTTCACGGTTTTACCGCAAACCGCTTTAGGGCTCTAGACGGAAAGCTGCCCAGGAATGGTCCATGGGAGGGCAGACGCCCAGCCCAGAGCCCTCCCTGCTACAGCTCTGCTGCTGTAACTAGCCCACCCCGGGGGAGGGGGGGGGGGGGAGGATCAGGGTGTCACACACCTCCACCTCCAGACTGGGGGCACTACTGAGGGCACTCAGTATGGGGCACAGGGGGATGACTGGCGACTACCATTATTTCCATTCTCATCCAGAGCAGCGAAGTCCACTGCGTTCTCCAGGAGGACGGAGCAGATGGTGGGCAGGTCCTGCTGGGCGGCGAGATGGAGGGCAGTCTGGCGATGCTTCGTTAACTCATTCACTTTGGCTCCTGCAAGAAGCTGTGGAAGCTGATTACATGAGCAGCCTCTCCACCACAACCAGCGAAGGCCCCACTCACGGGGGCCAAGCCTGCCCGTCTCCAGACGCACATCCGCCTGGCTGGCACCACTGGGAGCAGAGGGGCCTCGCACACGCTCCTGGAGAGACATAAGCCAGCCAAACCCGTCCCAAGCGGAAAGCGGCAATTATCAGTATGTGAAGAAGCCATTCCTTAGGACACAGAAACTCTACATCTAAGCCTTCTGGATATAAACTACGCAGGATGACAGTGACATTCACCATACTGCATAAGGGTGTCCACTGCTTACAGTAGCAAAATGAGATCACAAGAAGGGTTCAGTTATGAAAATTACAGGATGTCTGAACAATATAATAGGTAGCCATTAAGATGATAAAGATTTATGGTTAAACACGGAAGGATGTCTGTGATAGAGTAAGTAAAAAAAAGGCCAGTTCGAAGACAGTAGGACAGTATGATCCCGTCAGCAGAGAGAGAGAGAGAGAGAGAGATGCACGCACGCACACTCTGAAGGTGTGTAAAAGCACATATACCAAACTCTAAGGAGTCGGGGATAAAAGGGAGACACGACCTGCTTCATTATCCTTACATGCTTTATGTTTTTCCCCAATAAGCATATACTATGTTTATATTATTTTTTGTTGCTATTAAGATTCTATTTTTAAGTAATCTCCACACCAAACATGGGGCTTGAACTCACGACCTCGAGATCAAGAGTCCCACACACCACTGACTCAGCCAGCCAGGTGCCCCTCCTATATTACTTTTTTTTTTTTTTTAAAGATTTTATTTATTTATTCATGAGAGACAGAGAGAGAGAGAGAGAGAGAAGCAGGCTCCCAAGGAGCAGGGAGCCCGATGCGGGACTGAGCCGAAGGCAGTCACTTGACCGACTGAGCCACCCAGGCGCCCCCTATATTACTTTTTTAAACTAAGAAATTAACCCAAAGAATTACAGAATCAAAAGCAGGAAGGACCTTTTGACAATATCCTGCCACTCATTCCTTTTCTGACAGGGTTCCAGTCTGCAGCCAGAGCCCACGGTGCTCCCCCCACGGCCTGAGGCCACCCTGGCGTCTGCGTGTGCGGACACTGCCTCTGGGAGACCAAGGCCCTGCTGAGCGGCTCTGGTTCGGACCCTGCCTTCCCAGTCCCAGCCTCCCCAGACCTCTGGGCGCCCAGTGAGAGCATGCACAGGTCCAGGAGGACAGAGAGGGGCATCCGTGGACACAAGTGCTGCATGCATGTGCTGGGGTTCACAGCTAACCTCAGGTTGGTTAACCGGGGAGAGGGGGGTAAGTCTGGGCAAAGGCACTCTTCCGAGGCAAACAGGCTCCAACGTGAGGCTGCACGGCCACAGTCTGATCAGCTGTTTCCAGGGACTCCCACCACCTGTGAGGTCAGGGAGGCAGCACCGCGACCTTGAAGTAATATAGGAGGGGCACCTGGCTGGCTCAGTCAGTGGTGCGTGGGACTCTTGATCATGACCCTCTAACCTGTCGAGGCTCTCAGACGGATGGACACATGGCCTGCCTGCTACTCTGAGGCCCACCTCTGCCCCCGTGGCTGGTCCCCACACCCAGTCTGACCCCCCGCCAACCATTCTCCAACCCAGCTCACGGAAACCGCCCTCACACCCCACCACAGAGGTTAATGCTCTCTCAGCTCTAACACGTAACAAGTCATAAAGGTTTTCGAAGAAGTCTTTTTCAAAAACAAAAATGGGATAGGGGTGCCCAGCTGGCTCTAGTCGGTAGAGCACGTGACTCTTGATTTCGGGGCTGTGAGCTCAAGCCCCACACTGGGCACAGAGCTTACTAATTTAAAAAAGGAAAAAAAAAAAAAAAAAAGAAGGTAGGACACCAAGCACCAGTCGAGTGCCCCACCGGCTAGTTGTGCAGCATGTACTGGGGCTGATGGGACAGCAGCCGGCCAGGTGACATGAAGCCTTCGCCCTGGATGTGCTCTCAGCTCAAACACTTGCTTGGCTTCTGCTCACCAAAAGGATAAAGGCTGCTCACAGTTCTTGGTCTGCAGTGTCACACCCTACAATCTGGTCCCTACCTGCCCCTCCAACCACATCTCCTACACTCTCCCCAAATGTCAACCAAACCTTTCTAGTGAAAGCACCCCCATGCACTTTCTAGTCTCCACACCCTTGCTCAGACCGTTCCCTGGCCTCCGTGGCATTATGTCACACTGGAAAAGGCAGGCTTTGCAGTCGAACAGAAATGGCTAAAATCCCAGGCACACTACTGACTACCTCATAATCTTGGGGGAAAAGTTCTTTCTGAGCTTACATTTTCTCCTTTGTAAAATGTAAAAATTTTCCTACACCTCTCTGGGTGGTTTTGAGAATTGAGAGGTGGTAAGCTCCTTGACATCAGTCTTGGCGGTGATTTTTGGATCTGACTCCAAAAGCAAAAATAAACAAGTCAGGCCAGAAACTAAAAAGCTTCTGCACAGCAAAATCATCAACAAAATGAACAGGCATGACCTACTGAATGAAAATATTTGCAAATCATATATATGGTAAGGGGCTAATATCCAAAATACATACAGAACTCATTACAACTCAATAGCAAATAAATAAAACGATTTAAAAACAGGCAGAAGGACCTGACAGACGTTTCTCCAAAGAAGACATCCAGATGGCCAACAGACACACAAAAAGATGCTCAACATCACTCATCATCAGGGAAATGCAAATCAAAACCATGATGAGATACCACCTCACACCTGTCAGAATGGCTAAAATCAACAGCCCAGGGAACAGCAGGTGTTGGGAGGATGCGGAGAAAGGGGAACCTCGTGCACCGCTGGTGGGAACGCAAGCTGGTGCAGCCCCTCTGGAGAACAGTATGGAGGTTCCTCAAAATATTAGAAATAGAACTACCCTATGATCCAGTAATTTCACTACTGGGTATTTATCCACCTTAACAACCACGTTAACTTTGATAATCTAGACCTGCTTCTGGTCTCCTTGAGAGTTCTCCACAGAAAGGAGAGGGAGCCGCCTCCCGAGTCTGGGACCCCACCTTCTCCTCACAGGTGCGCCCACCTCACGCTGCACAGCTAGAGTCCTCACAGATGCATAGGCGGCCCGTCACGGAGGGCTGGGCCTGCAGCCCCGCCCCCTCCCACAGCCCACCCACCCCCAGGCCACCCCCAGAGCTGTGCACGTCCTGTGTTGCTGGAAAAAAACACTATTCTGAAAAGCTATCTGCAACCCCCTGTCCACTGCAGCATTATTTACAAGTAAAGCCAAGACATGGAAGCAGCCCAAGCGTCCATCGACTGATGAGTGGATAACAATGTGGTGTAAATACACAATGGAATATGACTCAGCCATCAAAGAGGATGAAATCCTGCCATTTATAACAAAATGGATGGAACCTGAGGGCATTAGGCTACATGAAGTAAGTCACACAGAGAAAGACAAATACAATATGATCCCACTTATATGCAGTATCTAAAAAAACAGACAAAAAACCCAAACTCATAGATACAGAGAACAGACTGGTGGTTTCCAGAGATGGGGTGGGGGTGTTGAAATGGGTGAAGGGGGTCAAAAGGTACAAACTTTCAGTTATGAAATACTAAGTCCTGGGCGTCTGCGTCTGGGTGGCTCAGTCAGTGAAGCATCTGCCTTCAGCTCAGGTCATGGTGCTGGGGTTCTGGGCTTAAGTCCCGCCTCGGGCTCCCTGCTCAGCGAGGAGCCTACTTCTCCCTCTCCCTCTGCCTCCCGCTCCCCCTGCTTGTGCTCTCTCTCTCTCTCAATAAATGAAATCTTAAAAAGAAAAATAAATAAATAAAATACACAAGCCCTGGGGCTGTAACGTACAGCATGAGAACCACAGTTAATACCATACTGCATATATGAAAGTTGCTAAGAGTAAATCTTAAAAGTCCTCATCACAAGAAAAAAATTTTTGTGACTCTGTGCGACAGATGTTAACCAGACTTACTGTGGTGATCACTTTGCACTATATACAAATACCGAACCCCTGTGACGTACACCGGAAACTAATATAATGTTCTATGTTGATTATAGCTCAATTTAAAAAAAAGAAGACTAATTAAAAAGAGAGCACGCAAATGCACACACGTGGGAGCGGGCTGAGGGCACCTGCCGCATGCCCGGTGCCGGACACAGACGTGGGCCTCCCTTCCCTCACGGCCGGGCCTGCCTCAGCCCCCGAATCCTGCTTTCCCTCAAGGCCTCACCCCGGCACTCGCTGCATTCGCTGCCTGCTGGGCTCTCAGGACACTCTGCCTACAGACATACCTGCTTTCCCAAGGGCACTGGCTTAGCACCCCAAATTCATGCCGGCCTTTCAAAAACGTGGCAAAACACCTGTGATGAGAGCTTCTGCACGCGGCACGACCCGGGGTCCACAGTCACACGCAATGTCTCAGCGACACTTACCAAGTTGCGGACAATAATCTCTGAGCCTGCTTGGACGGCGAGGTGCAAAGGGGTCAGCTTGGAGGCATCCTGGACTCTGGAATTCACATTAGCCTGGACGCTGATCAGGAACAGGACGCTCTCAATATCAGAGTTCTGAACTGCCACGTGCAGAAAATTCCGGCCCTTGTTATCCACCTACGGCAACAAGTGGGAGCCCAAACATTAGTGGGTTCCCCTTGCAAGAGTGCCTCCTTGAGCACGGGCCAGGGGTGATGGTGTCACCAACCCCTCGGGTCCAGGAGGCTCCCTCCCAGGAACCAACACTGCACGTGCCCCCGCAACAGACCCTCTCCGCACGTGTGCACCTGAGCACGCGCGCGTGGCCCTGGCACCCTCCGGCAGCAGAAGCGGATTTGGAAAGCTGAGCAAGAGACACCCTGCAGGGCAGGAAAAGGAAGGGGTGCTCGGGGAAAAAGGTAAAGGCGAAGACGAGTCGCGGAGTCCCCTGCTCTAGCTCGGGACAAGCACCGGCACCCTCCCCCCGCAGCTGCAACACCAGCCTGACCCTGAGCAGCTCCACATTTCTTCCTTTATCGAGCTACAGGACAGCAACACACACGGCGGAGGGAGCGTCCAGCGCGCTGCAGACGCTGCTCTGCTCACACGCAGCAGACGAGCTCACTCGAACCAGACCACAGAAAAACCGCAGTTACCAGAGCCATCGTGTCGGCGTGAGTGCCCGGGAGAAGTGAGGGGGCAGCAACATGCCACGCTCGCGGGGCACACGCGTGCACACGCACAGCACGTGCCACCGTCCGAGGCGGTGTCTCTACAAAGGGCTCTGATCCACGGTGCCTGTCCCACTCGTATGTGAGGACGCCTGAGCAGCTACCCGTTCACCAGCATGCGAAAGCACCCACACAGCTCGGCCACACGCACACGCTGCAGAAAGTGGCGCGGGGTAGCCTGAGCGCCCAAGCGGCGGTCTTCCCCCGTGCCGGCATTTCGTTTTGTTCAGCTGCCGAGTTCCCACACCACTGTCATCAGCGGCCTCTCCTGGGTCCTGGCAGTGCTCTACGGGCTGGATGGGACCCCAGCCCCGCCTCGGGCCAGCCGCGGCTGGCACTGCCCGCCCAGTCCGCACCGCAGGGCAGCACTTCACCAGCCGCACTGAGCAGCTGCGGAAGAACCACAGAGAAGGAAAGCCTGAGCCTGCTACGCTGGACAGTGACAACCCCTCAGAAGCCTTCTCCCCGGAGAGCTGCCCCAACTCCACACCAAAAGCTCCTCCTGTCCAATTCAAATCTCCTGAAGACCTTTGTTACCGAGGCAATGAGGCCAAGCAAGAGCACAGGATGACACACTTGGGCATGCCACAGAACTCCTCTCCTGGGGCCTGGCCACCTCCAACCTCCCTGTGTATGTGGCACCACCGCGTGGCTGACACGGACAGCCAGGCCTCACCTGGCACTGACAGTCCGTTGGAATGGCCAGACTTCAAGAAAGGGGAGAGTAATTTCAACACAAATGTCTTTATGGCTGGGAGACCTGTTTGGCTGAGGCCATCTGTTTAGTGTCCACGTAACGGGTTCCCCCGAGCTCGGGCCCCGTGCAGAATGTTGGGGGCGGGTCCCTCACCTGCTCGGCAGCCCCAGACTCTCGCTTGAGGATGGCCTCAGCTGCCCGGTTATTCTTGTAAGTCATGGCGCAGGCAAAAGGGGTCAGCCCCTGTCTGTCGCGGACACTCAAGTGGATATCGGGGTGGGATATCAGCAACTGAATGATGACGCTGTGCTGGTTGCTGATGGCCACGTGGACAGGTGCTCTTCCTTCTGCATCCTACAGGGACAAAGCACAATTTCAGTGTCCAGATGAAAAGAGAAACTCAGGAAAAATCAAATTTGGTTCTGGGAACCAATATTGCCCCGCTGTGTTTGAAATCAGCTTTTAAAGAGGCCAAGCCCAGAGGAGACCAGAAGCCAATGCCATCACCCCCACGCTCCGGTGACGCAGGGACACAAGCGTAATTGGTTTAGAAGACGTACGGTCACCCTCACCTCTGAGACCACTCCCCACCCCGCAGCCTACGTCAGTCCTCACAGGCCAGGACACCGAAGAGCACCAAGGAACATAACTCAGGGGTGCCCCACGGAGCTACCGGAACATTCTCAACACAGTGCTCAGCTTGAGACCAGGACACAAACTCTCTCAATGGAAAGGTATAACCAATGGAGGTAAGAAGCAAAGAGAAGCTGGAGAAATGTTCCTCCCACTGTAGAAAGGACAGAGGCACAAAGTGGGAGAGTCTTCACCTGAAAGCCTTATACTTACTAGGCAGGCTGTATGACCCAGAAGAAGTCACTCCATCCGCCTGTCCCTCAGCCCCACTCACAGCCAAGCCGAGGTCCAAGACCGAGAGTCTGCAAGGACTCTGGCAGTTAAGGGATTTCCCTAATTCTGTGGCCAGCATCCATCTCCCTGGAAAGAGAAATTCTCCATACCTGTGTGTTTACATTGGCACCGAATTCCAGAAGACACTGGACCGTCTCTTCCAGCCCCCAGGAGGCTGCCAAATGCAAGGGGGTCTGCCCATCTCTGGCCTCCTCCTCCCCTTCTCCATTAGGGCCGGGCTGCCTGGGACTGTTCACGTCGCAGCCACTGAAAGCAACAGGGAGATGAAAGGCAGGCTTCAAGAGCCAGGCTTCCAACCCAGCCAGAGGCCTGCTGATAAATGCACAGTAGCAGCCTCATCCAACGAAAAAGCTGCTGCTGCCAGGACTACTGTCTTGGTCACAAATACTGACGTCTGGGTCCCACTCTCATCAATTCTTCTTTGGTCTTAGGGCAGCCTGGGCACCAGAACTCTTCAAAGTTCCCCCAAGAGATCTGTATGCACTTACAATCTACATACCACTGCTCTAAAAGTTCCTCCCAGGCACACTGCACTCCCAAGTGTGCTGTGGACTCATGCACCTTTGGGGGGGGGGGGGTCCCATAGGGGCCATCTGGTTTCCTCCACCCCAGCCTCCTGGCTGCATGGTGTGAACTGGTCTGACTGGACTCTGGGAGCCTCTATGGCCTCCAGAGCAGGAAGCTGGCTCAGCTTCTAGACTCTGTGATGGGGCACCCAAGCCCTTCTCCTCAGAGGTGGGTCAAGTGCCTTAACCGGGGACATCAGACCAGCCAAGGCACGCCAAGACTACAGCTGAATAAGACACGAGGAGACACCTGGGGTTCTCAGACCTGCGAATGAGGAAGCAGGCGGTCGACTCATTGTTTTCATCAATGGCCCTGTGCAGGAGTGTCTGCAGGCACCCACTGGGCCCCGGGCCCCAGCACGTGGCATCACAACCATGTCTGACCTGCAGAAAACACAGGGTACTCCCAAACACTGCCCAGCAAAGTCTAACATTTTATCACTGAGCTCTGAGTACACCATTAGATTCATTTCTTTCAGGTGAGATACAGTTGAAATTAACTGCTAATTCTTTTAATCTGTACAAACACAGATTAAAATGTGCTTTGTGCCAGGTCCTGTGGGACGGGTTTGGGAAATACAAGAAAGACAGAAAGACAAGTTTATCATCGCCCTCGGGAGCTGTGTCCCAGGAGGGAGAAAAAACACACACAACTCCCCTGGCCTCAGCAACACACCCGGAACTCACAGGTCATCTCAGCACAACCGGGTGAGACCCCCAGCTGGAAAATGCACTGTCACATTTCAGAAACCTGAATGAGGACTTCCTGGGCCTGTCTTCTGAGTAAGGGAAACAAACCAGAGATCTGGGGACTTATCACTACGGTAAGAGTGAGGGCAGCCCACATCCAAGGACTCCCGAGGAGGCACCTCAGCTCTCTGGCTTCTTGGTAGTTTTGGCAAAGACAGTCTACAAGAAAGTGTTGGCCAAGGTTACGCTGAACTGCAAGTTTCTTTAACAGGACTTTCCACCACTCATCCTTGACCCAATTGGCTGCGTGGCAGATCTCCTGCTCCCTGCTAGGCAGGCACTGAATCAGTCTTGGACACGAAACACCCCCACCACATGTAACCAGAGGCGGAAGCTCCGCTCATCTCACCAGGGTAGAGGCGATGTCCTCCAGACTGTTTGCCAAGGCGAGCCACAGTGGGGGGTTCCCCTTCTCATCCGGCACGGACATATCCGCTCCCCGGGTGCATATGGCGTCCACTACGAGTGGAAGCTGGTTTCTGATGGCCAGCTGAAGGGCTGTCTCCCCGTCCTGAGTCCTGTGAGGACACGCACACCAAAACCAACGTTTGTAGCTGGAGCCAAACGATAATGCGCGCCCTCTGGACATCCCAGAGGCCAGAACCCACACGACTCACGAAAGAATCAATATTCTTTCAGAGCAATTTAACCTGTCAAGAGCATCTGTCCCTTCTGCCTTTTTAAAAAATATAGCTGTGGGCGCCTGGGTGGCTCAGTCGGTTAAGCAACTGCCTTCGGCTCAGGTCATGATCCCGGGGTCCTGGGATCGAGCCCCACATCGGGCTCCCTGCTCTGCGGGAAGCCTGCTTCTCCCTCTCCCACTCCCCCTGCTTGTGTTCCCTCTCTCGCTGTGTCTCTCTCTGTCAAATAAATAAATAAAAAATCTTTAAAAAAAAAAATATATAGCTGTGCCATCCTAGTACACCCAGAAGGTAGGGGACCAACACCCCAGCACGGTGACACCTCTCGGGCATCCAGCTGCTTCCAAGAGCATCTCAATAACATGCCATCACGGCTGCCCACTTGACAAAACACGTCTTTCACCTCAGTCAGTCAGGGTCACCTGACACTGGAGATAAATTCCTCTGAAAATACAGAAATAACAGAAACTTCAGTCTGTGTTTCTCCCCCGAGGCTTTCTGACAGCTCATCTGTTGGACTGTTCTTCGTTATGCATGAAATCCCTCCCTCAACAATGGCTTCTGGACTGTTCTTCCAACGAGCTCTGGGCGGTTCCGTGGCCTGCTCCCGAAGGGTTCCCCTCCACCACCCCGCAAGTCTCAGGGAAACGGGAGCGGGTACTGCGGCGGAGAGGCTGCTCTGGCCTACCGGACGTTTATGTCTGCCTGGTGCTCCAGGAGGAAGAGCGTGCTCTTGCTATCCTGCCGCTGCATGGCCATGTGCAGCAAGGTCTGCCCGTCCGACATGGCATCGTTGATGCAGGCCCCGGAGCCCAGCAGCTGGGCTGCGATCGTGTGCATGCCTGGGACACAAACAGGCCCTGACTGCCCCACGTGCTCACATCTTACTGCAACACACACCCCTTCTCGACTGCTCAAAGCCAGCAGTTTCCACAGGGTATTACAGGCTTGACCCAAACCCAATGATGAGCCCAGCCCCTCCATGCCTCCCTCCCTCCCCTCTCCTCCACCCTTCCTAGGCAGGTCTGTCTGCAGACGCCGGTAGCCTCAGGCACCCCCTTACCAGTCCATAATGCCAGGCCCAGCACCGTCTGGTCTCGGGAATCCTTGAGGCTGAAGTCCGGAATGATTTGCAAGTTGTTGGTGGCATGAAGAGCATTAGCTAAGAGTTTTAAAGTTAACAAACACTTGATTTCACCATCCCATGGACCACGTTTAAAGTATCCAAGAGCATAAGAGCTAGTTTCCGACTAACAGACTGGCTAGAATACAATCACCTCTATACAAAGAGAGTTCATAAATCTTGTCGGGGGTGGAAGCCCAGAAACCTGGTATTTTGGAGCAAAGCTTATGGGAAAAACAGAAGAGTTTTTAAAGCTTAAAACAGTGAATCTTCACAAAAGGAAAACAAACCCACTATTGAAACACATAATGATTACCCAACTGCTTACGAGAGTCAAAACCATGGCCTGGTACTGCCTTCCTACCATCTTACCACTCCCGTGAGGACCCAGAGAAAGGTGCACTCTACCTAAAATCTCGCTTCCTTCCACAAGCACAAGGCTGAACATGCTGACCTTCACAAGGATGGGGCAAGAGGAAAACAAGTTCCAGGACAGGAAAGAGGAAAACCCGAGGAGGACTTTCTGAGGGAAGTGGGCCTCCCACGGCAGGGGCTGCCCTTGGTCTTCCTTCCCGCTCCTCCCATGGTTCACCTGCCGGGGAGGCTGAGGCAGGTGACAGAACAGCTGGCTTGAGCAGTACCTAGGGCTGCAGGGTCCTCGGAAACTGCTCACGCTGAGGCAGAACTTTGGGAAAACACCCAACATGAGAAAGTAGTCGTCACCGATTCTAAAACCAAAACCTAACAGGTGGAGTGGGCAGGCCCATCCTAATACAGGGAAACAGTGGTCAGGAGCCAGACTACATGCTTACCTAGTTTGACCTGGAAGGATTTGGGGGCAAGAAAATTCCCCAATGGAAGGAACATCGACTCTGTAACTACTCAGAACTACTATACTGTCAACGACTCAGAACTACTCTTCAAAGGTCAAGGTGAGGAGCAGTTCCCAGCCACCCACCTTTCTGCTCCAGGATGACAGACACCACATCCGGATGATTATAGGCAATGGCCATGTGCAGTGGTGTCTGCAGATAGACACTGTCCACGGAGCTGGTCGCAGACGTGGCCTCCTTCGGCAAAGGCGGAGCTTCGTCTGTCTGCAGGTTCGGGTTGGCACCTTGCTGCAGGAGCTCTGCGGTAAGGTTGGCCAGGCCATACCGACAGGCTGTGTGCAACGGTGTTTCTCCCTGAACAGAAGCAAACGGCCCACCTCAGAGCACGTTCAGGAGGGGACTTCCCGTCACAGGGCGCTAACGACAACCTGTGTGTTGAATCCCGGGTCCCTGGGGGCAGTTGCAGCCCTTGGTTTATCCTGTCACCAGCTGACCATGAGGCGTCCACACCTGCGGGTCTGTCCCTCCCTTCCCTGTACGATCAGCCTCCATTTATTTAATGTCTGCCCAAGTGCCCTCCAAACACCCTGGCCCCTCCCCTCTTCTACGTGTCCAAGAACCTTCCTAACCACCCTTCCAACAGTTATTACTAAACAACCTCGACGTGCCACAGAAGGAAGCCCCAGGGAGACTGGCAGAGCCTCAACTGCGGCCCCGCGGGGACAGGGCTAACGGTGGGGCCACCGCGCCCCTCCCACCCCCACCCCCACTGGTCTCTCTGACCGGCTCACATCAGCCCCATCTTGAACTCGGATCAAGTCCTCCTTCCACCACTTTTTAAAATTAAAAACATTTTAAACTGGTATTCCACATACTCGATTCACTATTCAAGAGGCACAAGAACATATAGTGACAAGTTTCCTCCCTGCCCTGTGCCCACACCCAAATCCCCCCCCAGGAAACCGTGGTACCAGATTCCTGCGTCCTTCCACGGACAGAAGAGTCACAGAAGGACAGGTACACAGACACACACCGCATCTTTCCACCCAAGCGGAAGGAATCCAATCGAACACACTGCCCTGCTCCTTATTCTTATGGAAGCTATACCTCATCCCTCTAGAGTCAAAGACTCAACAAGGCTCCTTGTGAAACACACTTCCTCTTCCCTAAAAAGAAATTTTCACTTTTAACTCTCAGCTGGGTTTCTGCATTCTCCGTGTTTCTAACTAACATGTTTCTGTTGCCACCACCCAGTTTTACGGGCTCAGGTACTGTACGTGGACCTCCCACTGCTGTGTCCTTGTGTCACAGGACTCAGCCCCCCGCCCCCCACCAACACACCCTTCCCCATCGACCTGTGTTGCAGTGTGGAGGGCCTCACTCAGTGTCCTGTGTCCTTGAGTCACAGGACTCAGCCCCCCGCCCCCCACCAACACACCCTTCCCCATCGACCTGTGTTGCAGTGTGGAGGGCCTCACTCAGTGTCCTGTGTCCTTGAGTCACAGGACTCAGCCCCCCGCCCCCCACCAACACACCCTTCCCCATCGACCTGTGTTGCAGTGTGGAGGGCCTCACTCAGTGTCCTGTGTCCTTGAGTCACGGGACTCAGCCCCCCGCCCCCCACCAACACACCCTTCCCCATCGACCTGTGTTGTAGTGTGGAGGGCCTCACTCAGTGTCCTGTGTCCTTGAGTCACGGGACTCAGCCCCCCGCCCCCCAACAACACACCCTTCCCCATCGACCTGTGTCCCGGTGTGGAGGGCCTCACAACAGTGTCCCCCTCTGTGGGACCATCTTCTGCTCCAGCCCCCTCCCCTCCACATTCGCACTGGGAATGCTCACTGGCCCCTATGACCCCACCAGAGTCTGCAAACACAGGACTGTCACACCCAGGCCTCCATCCGACATCTCTGCTCAACAGTCACAAAGTCAAATTCACTATGCAGCAATTCCTCCTCCTGGCAATTCTCGTTCTCTTCATGGCTGCATCTGGCCGTTCCACCCCCTCTTGACCCTGCTTCTCAGAGCCCCAGCTGGTACGAGTATAATTCCACAAACCCTCTGAAACCTATCCCTGTAGGTCCAACTTCAGTATCCAAGGTCAGTACTCCTCGCTACCATTCCAGGTGACTCCCACCAGCCCCGGCCTCAACCTCAACGGTGCACCCACTGGGCCAGCTTCCCACAGGGATCTTCTCCTCCCACAGGATAAAGTCCAAAGAACTCAACCAGCATTCCAGGCCCTGCTCCAGTGTCGCTCTTACTTGCCTTCAAATCGGGTCTCTTGAGGTGCATCTCAGGGTTCTCCCCGTTTTGTTAGGAAGGAACGGCTGGCAGACAGTGTGAGCTCCATACCATGAGAAATGAACAGTGGGCAAAACTGATGATGCCGCAGGAGACAGACACAGACAGACCCACATAACGGCCGAAGCAAAGTCGAGGAAGCTACCAGGGCACTCAGGGACATGCTGCTGCTCAGCTCGAGAGCAGGCCGTGCACGGTTTTAGGTGCAGAAAGGTGAGCACACTGAATGGTGGAAGAGGATGGTGCTGCCATCTCCCCTGAGCTTCCAAGACACTTCGGTGTGTCTCAGGCACAAGCTCACGGTGTGTACTGCCTTGCCCGGCGCTGTTAACCTTCCATCCTAGACCTGAGTCTTAGTGCTGGCTCCGTCACTGGTGAGCCACTTAACCTCTCAGAGCCTCACCGTTCTTTGCCCTGAAACGAGGGATTTGGACATGTCGAGAATGTTCCTTCCAGGTCCACTCTGAGAATTAAAAGAACCAACATCCTCAAAGCTCTGAGCACAAAGGTGCAATGCAAAGTAAACGTGACCTTAGAGACAAGCACAGCCTCCCTACATGAAAATAGCAGTGAAAATAACATCACGTAGCACCCGATGTCCTAGCCCATTATGCTAACAAGCACTTACATGCGCCCTTTCCTTTTCCCTAATCCACACCTGATGAAATCAATGTGAATCCCATTCTGCAAAGAAGGAAACCGAAGCTCACAAAGGGTCAGTAACTTGCTTAAGATCACACAGGGCAGGGTGAGAAATGGGAAGTCTTACCCCAAGGCCATGCTTTGACTGGAACACTGTGCAGTCTACCTTGTGAGCCTGAGACCCAGACTAAATAAGCACCCGCACAGGAAAGATTCTGTAAACCAAAGTATTATTAAAAATGGAGATTCTATGACGGTAGTTTGTGTGTACGAGCCTGGCAGTCTCCAGCAGACCTAGATGTCCACAGCATCCAGGTCAGGACCCAGTATTCCACAAATGCTTAGGGACTGGTTGCTGAATGAATCAACCGACCAGTATCTGGGGACAAAACATCCATTTCACCCTGGTTTTCTAACCAAGTACATGTATGATCAGACAAAAACTGAAAAAGAAGCTATTTTTTCCCCACACAACCAGTGCTGCCTTTCTTGCATAGACCCACCCTGATCCCCTGGCCACCCCAGCACACTCACCCACTTGTTCCTGTGATTGACCTGGGCACCACTGGTTGCCAGGAAAAGAGCCGCTGCCTCATTCCCTGCTTCAGCCGCCCGCTGCAGTAAGCCATTCCCTGGGGGAGAGTGAGCACACTCGTTTCCATCTGCACAACAAGCCCCTCCTCGCCCACCTTCCACAACGGACAAACCCACACCCCACACCCACGTCCACACAGGCCCTCTCTGCATGTGGACGCAGACACCGGATAGGCCTGGGTGGAACAAAGACTTGGTATGGGAGTCGGGAGACATTCATTCTTTCAGAGTCTGCCACTGGACGCCGCCCAGGGCCAGAGGTGAGTTCCGTCTCCTGCCGAGGATGGGTTAGAACGCCGTTTCTCAGTAGTGGTGCTGCTGCCATTTTGGGCCAGGGGCTCTTTGTTGTGAGGGGTCTGTTCTGCATACGGTATGACAACTAGATGCCAACAGCACCCCCAGCCTTGCTGTAACAAGTATGTCTACAGATGTTGCCAAAAGTCCAGGGGAGGGGGACAGCTGTCTGAGAACCTCTGGACCTAGAACGACCATTTCGAAGACAATGTGAGCTGAAGTTCTACCAGAAAACGCCCTTTACATTTTATCCCTAAGGCCTTAAATATGTTTGTTCTTGGCTTAGAAATGTTTTGCTTAGCACTGTTTCCTAAATAAAAATCTTAGGGAAAAAAAACATTTATTTTCTTCTTTCCCTCATGGAATGTTTTTAGCCCCAAAGCATCGTTTCCCTTTCTATTAGCATCCATTTCCTCTTCGGATAAACCCAGATTCTCATGTGCTGCAGCTATGCTATTTGAAAACTCAAATTAAATACCAGGACTAAAAATAGGTAAAGAAATGGGACATGGCTAAAATCAACAACATAGGAAACAACAGGTGTTGGCGAGGATGTGGAGAAAGGGGAACCTCGTGCACTGTTGGTGGGAATGCAGACTGGTGCAGCCATCTGGAAAACAGCATGGAGGTTCCTCAGAAAGTTAAAAATAGAGCTACCCTAATTGCCCTACTAGGTATCTACCCAAAGAATACAAAAATACAGATCCGAAAGGGCATATGCACCCTGATGTTTATAGAAGCATTATCAACAATAGCCAAACTGCGGAAGGAGTCCAGATGTCCATCAACAGATGAACGGCTAAAGAAGATGTGGTATACACACACACACACACACACACACACGCACGCACGCACACACAGTGGAATATTACTCAACCACCAGAAAGAATGAAATCTTGCCATTTGCAATGACATGGATGGACCTGGACTGTATTATGCTAAGCGAAATAAGCCATCAGAGAAAGAGAAATACGATATGATCTCACTCATGGAATTCAAGAAAGAAAACAGATGAACACAGGGGAAGGGGGAAAAGAAAAGAAGGAGAGATGGAAACAAACCATAAGAGACTCTTAATGACAGAGAACAAACAGGGTTGCTGCAGGGAGGCGGATGAGGGATGGGCATTAAAGAGGGCACTGGGTGTTGTATGTAACTGATGAATCACTGAATTCTAATCCAGAAACCAATATTGCGCTGTATGTTAACTACTTTAAAAAAAAAGAAAAAAGAAAAAAAAGAAATGGGACAAACGCTTTGTTTTCATGCCATTTTTCCTTTTCTCTCAGGGACTGTGATTCCACCCCTAGCTGAGAGCCACCCTAACTTAGAGACCCCTAATGAAGGTCCCATCTTCACTTCTGTAGTCATTCTGTGGCACACAAAACATGAACATGGGCCTCCCCATCAAATAAATAAAGATGACCTTCAACTGCTAAAACATTATGCTGAGGAACATGCATTCCATGTATAAGGACAATTGGAACAAGGAAAAAATAATAATCCTGAACTCGCACTAAAACTCAAAGTATATAAAGTAAAACTGACAGAACAAGCAAGAAAACGGATAAATCCATAATCACAATGAAGAATTTTAATATACCTCCCAAAAGTGACAAATCAAGCAGTCTAACAGTAAGTTAATGTGTAAGATTTACACAGCATGATGAACACGCTTGATGCATGGACATAAGCAGAGACTAAGCAGGACATAAACAGTGAAAGAATGCACATTCTTAAGCGTCTGCCTTCGGCTCAGGTCATGATCCCAGGGTCCTGGGATCGGGTCCCACGTCAGGCTCCTTGCTCAGCAGGGAGCCTACTTCTCCCTCTCCTCCCTGCTCATGTTCTCTCTCGCTATCTCTGTCTCTCTCTCAAATAAATAAAATCTTAACAAAAAAAATTCCACATTCTTGTCAAGTACGTATCAAGCTTTCATAAAAACTGGATCTGCAGGGTGCCTGGGTGGCTCAGTTGGTTGGGCGTCTGCTTTTGGCTCAAGTAATGATCTGGGAGTCCAGGGATCGAGTCCCGCACCAGGCTCCCTGCTCTGCAGGGAGTCTGTGTCTCCTTCCTCTCTGTCCCTCCCCCTGCTCCTTCTCTCTCCCTCACTCTCTCTCAAAATAAATAAATGTTAAAAATCTTTAAAATAAAAAGACCGGATCTGCAGGAACCTAACATTCTAAGCCCTAAATATCAAAGAACTAATTTCGTATATAATGCAATGATCATATAATATGATTACATTAGGAAACAGTAAAATTATGGCCAATAACTACTATACCTTTGTAAATTAAGAGCAATTTAGTAACAATCTCATTTCCAGAGGGTTTTCCTGATCCCCCTGGTGTGGAGTGCCCTGCCTTTAGCTCTCATGTCACCAGAGGGGTGATTTAATTTGATCTTTATTTAAATTATTAACTTCTTTCAGGGAAAGGGCTGTTTAATATCCATCCTTTTTTGGCCCATTCCCCTCATCAATGACACCCACCCACGCTTTATACATAGCAATACAGATTACAATGGGATCCTTCTCCTTAAAATATTCCCATATTTTATTTAGTCAGATCAAGGAAATATCCACATTAAAACAGTGGTTCTCAAAGTGTGGTTGTTGGATTCCTGGGGGATCCTGAGTGTCTTTCAGGGGCCCATGAGGTCAAAACTGTTCCCGTAACAGTAACGCTGGATATGTGCTCGTCCCCCAGCAGGTCACGCTAAGGCGTGAGCACAAATAAACAAGGAATCCCAGCATGTACCCGTAGTCAGTGCATTACTCTTTACCACCATGCACCAGCCAAAAAAGGGGCAGTTTCTTGATAAAGCAGTAAAAATTACTAAATTTCTTAAATTTCAACAAGTACCTGTCCTTTTAGAACTCTGTGTGACATTTCATTTGTAACTGGGAAAATCCAATAAAAGGATATTCATTTAGAAAATAGCTATGACTTTAGTAAACATCTGATAAGAAAAGCACAAAAAAAATAAATACATACATAAAATAAGATACATTTCTGTGTGACAAAGTAAGTAGCATGCATAAAACCGCATCCACGGCGTAACGAAGTCCCACAGTGGTCTCCAGGAAAGGCACGGCAGCTGCTGTTTAAGCTGCAAGCTAAGCTAGCAGTTTTCTTCATGGAACACAACTTTCATGAAAGAAGGACTGATTAACAAACTGGTTATTTAAACAGGAGTATCCGACAGACATTTTCCTGAAAATGAACAATGTGAGCCTATCTCTTTAAGAAAAACAACTGGCAATATTGTACCAAATGATAAAATTTGGATCTTGCCAGTGAGTATCAGAATTTTGGAAAACTTTTATCCAAAATTGCAAGTCTGCCAGCTTATCAACACTGGAAGACTTTTCTGATGAGATCACTGATGATATTAGCAAATGTCATTCTAAAATACACAAACATTTGGAAGATTGGTGTACTCAGTGAACCAGTATTTTTCAAATAATCAAGTCATGATGTTACAAAATCATGTATGGAGAAAAGATCCATTCAAGCACAAATGGACCACGGATTTTCATACACCAGAGTATGAAGAATTCACTGACACACTTTCAGATTCCACACTGCAACTGACTTTAAACTATCACTTGGTCAATTCTGCTTGCTATAGAATCTAAGAAACACATCCACAATTATCTGAGAAGGCTCTAAAATATGCCTCCCTCTTCCAGCTACATAACTGTGTGAGGGAATGTTTTCTTCACATACTTTAACCAAAACAACCTTATCTCAAAAGGTTGAATACAGATCTGCATCTTGTATACAAGAAACCAGTCACTCTTCCAACTAATTGTGTTTTGAACATTATTCTTCATAAAAAAATGCTATGTTAAACATATAATGGTTTGTTATTTTTTAAATTAATTAATACATCTTTTAAAAATTTCAGTTTTAATTTCTAAAATGTTACATACTGAAGTTATAACCCACCGAAACTAAAATACTTGGGGATATAATTTTTAAGAGTGTAAAAGGAGTTCTGAAGCTCACTGCACCAAATAAATGGAAGTGTTTCTGCTTAACAGACTCAGAGTCTGGCTGAACTTCTTCAAGCGTTAAGATTAAAAAAATAACTCAGGCTTTTACTACAGTGCAAAGCACAGACTGATTCCCCTAATACTATGCCATTTGTTTTCTACCTTTCTGGTACAAGTGCTGACGTGATGTTTCATGGGCCCCCGGACCTGAGCCCCAGGCTCGGGGGGTCCACGTGTTACCTGTGACAGTGTCCGGCGCATTCGTGTTGCTGCCCCTCTGGATGAGTCTGGCTGCAAAGCTGTTCTCATCAAATGAGGTCCCATTCACCACCGGGAGGTCTTCGAAGGGGTTCACCGAGTGGTCGGGAGACACGGTGACGTACTGCACCGCGAGCCACAGAGCTGTGCTGCCCTCGTGGTCTTTCAGTTCCAGATCCAGCCTGAAGTAAGAAGCAATGCAAACAGCACATACAGTCCTCTGCCAACAGCCTCATCGTCTCTTCATACACATTTTGAATGACAATTTCTCGCTGACTTTCACTCATTACCATTCACAACACTAAAAGACATTTTAAAGGAGCGGTGTCTCACGCATCAGCCCACCCTCCCGGCTGCTTTTCCAGCGCTCCACGTCCTACCGTTTGCACTGCAGCAACTGGCTGAACACACGTTCATTCCTGGCCACGATGCACGTGTGCAAGGGAGTCCTGTGCACGAGAGAGAAGAGGGGTCAACCCAGAACAGGCGTGGGTCAGGATGACCCACAGGAACCCCACGTTTCTGCAACAGTGTCTCTTTGTGCCCCAGCAAACAGCTTTCCAAAATCATGACCAAGTATCAAAGAATGAAAATGGACTTGCTTCTATGTCACCATTTAGTCAGTGGCCAAAAGGACAAGAACCAACAAAAGGAAGAGAGACATAAAATACTCTCCAGTTAAATGCTGACACTCCCTATTACTCATGTTCTTAAACGGTTTCTACACATGTACACCTATTTTCCCCACCTATCCTCCACAATTCTGAAAACAAATGTTTTTCTTCCTGTAACTCTGGGTTATGCTCGAACACAGCGCGGTAACAGGTAGGGACTGATGGGAGTGGCTTCTGACTGCCCTTCAATGCGTTTATGCAGCCCTCACGTGCCCTGAAGGACCCCCCCAACCCCCGGGACCCTTCTGAGGCATACGCCACCAGCGGCTGCTGCAGCCAGACAAAGTAAAATTAAAGATTCAACAGAAGGTAAAAAGGATGCAATTATTTCAGGAAATAAAGTAGTTATCACACGATAATGAGAGTTCAGAGACCCATCTGACTTAACTGTGGAATCCTTCCACACACGTCTATTTTCTTATTCTGACAATTGCACAGAACTCGGTTCTTATTTTGTGAGAGGCTTTTCCAAGGTATAAAATACTGAGCTGTGACTACAGAAAGTGGGTCCCACTTGTTGGAGGTCCCCTTCTGTGCCTCCCATACTGCCGCCCCAAAGATACACAGCCCTTCCGCAGACTCTAAACCACAAGGGGTCCTCAACAAGGTACCTCTGGCAAGAGGCCAAGGAACACAACGGCCGTCAGAGGTGTTGTGGGGAAGACATGCGCTCTGCCGAGAGCCGACCGAAGCCAGAGCAGTCACACCTAGTGAGAACTGGGTTTAACACACAGAATCTCCCAACAATCAGACCGCCTTGGGATGGAGTGTGCCCCACCAGCTCTGACAAAGATGCCGGGGCAAAGTTCCTTTGGAGCAACTGGACCAGTGACCACTGGAACAAGACAGAAACTGCTTACGGATCCATGGACCTCAGCTCCCAGCAGGGAAATGATTTCCCCAACGCCCCTGAGCTTAGTCGTGCCTCTCATCTGTCTAACAAGCCAATGTCTGCGACTTCAATGAAAATCATCCTGAGCAACACGTCCCTGTCTGCTAGTTGTGTGTCCCAATAAAACACCATTGCGGAAACAGCACCAAGAGCAGACGCCTGACCCCACTTACCTGCCCTTGCTGTCCTGCATGTTGGGGTTGGCACCAGCCTGCAGAAGGGCCTCTGCGATCTGGGCCATCTCAGACATCACATCTGCCGAGTGTTTCTTCGCACTGTACAAAGCCACAAGGTGCAACGGTGTCTCCTGGGCACCCAACGTAGCAGCATTGACAAGGGCGCCATTCTTAATGAGGAAGGTGGCAGCAAAGAGATCTCCTTGAAAAGAAACAAAAAGGGTCACCCATGACAACACCAGGGCAAGCTACTGGCCAATGCTGCCTCGGAAAGTCAGTAAGTGCAGACAAAGTAGAGGGACAACCGGGCATGTCTTAGCAGAAGAACCTCTGGGACACCTGTAAGTGGGAACTCGTCATCAAGATCACAAAGTCACATACTTGAATTCCAAAGGCTTCATTCAATTTCTGATTACCTGTTGTCATCTGTCCTGCCCCCTCACCTCAACATCACTATTAAGTACACCAGGCTTCTACACTTAATGGCCTCTCCTACTCATCAGCTCTCAAAGAGGGTTTCAAGATTCCCCCCCAACGTGGTTGATGCCCCTCTCTCATTTCCTGACCACAGTCTGCTCCTGAGCAACGCTTACCGCCAATCTGCTATACTTACATACAGGTTCCTGTTCCAAGTATGACCCTGTCTGATTGATTTATTGTGATTAAATGTTCTCAATCTATTACGTACAAACTAACAGTCTCAACAAGAAATTCTCAACTGAATATTTGAACCAAGAATCTGTACACATTATTCTTTACAAAAACTCCGCATGGTAAATTAAGTGGTTGTCAAAACAAAGCTTCCTCCTAAGTCCCCTCTGCTGCCCTAACTCTTGGAGCATTTACAGGTGCAAGAGTCTGCCTAGGACTACTTAAAAATACCAAATTAGTTCTGAATAACTTACATAAAATCCAGTAAGTTCGACAGCTCAAACTGCTGTCTTTGACTATTCACAGTGCTCTCTATGAGGAAACACAGAAACTACCTTGACACCCTGACAAAAGGCCAAGAATTAAGTTTACATAAAGATACTAAAGGTGGGGGCGCCTGGGTGGCTCAGTCGGTTAAGCAACTGCCTTCGGCTCAGGTCATGATCCTGGAGTCCCGGGATCGAGTCCCGCATCGGACTCCCTGCTCGGCGGGGAGTCTGCTTCTCCCTCTGACCCTCCCCCCTCTCATGTGCTCTCTCTCATTCTCTCTCTCTCAAATAAATAAAATCATGGGGCGCCTGGGTGGCTCAGTTGGTTAAGCGACTGCCTTCGGCTCAGGTCATGATCCTGGAGTCCCTGGATCGAGTCCCACATCAGGCTCCCTGCTCGGCAGGGAATCTGCTTCTCCCTCTGACCCTCCCCCCTCTCATGTGCTTGCTCTCTCTCATTCTCTCTCTCTCAAATAAATAAATAAAATCTTTAAAAAAAAAAAAAGATACTAAAGGTGTACAGTTCTGTAAAAACATGGCTAAATTCACAACCAAGTAATCTGACCATTTCAAAAATACTTGTGGAAAAGCAGTTAAAGTGTGCTTGTCAAGTTAACCTGGAGGATGATAGGGATTGAGCAAATAAATTTGCTGTAAGATTACTTAAAATTCAATCTTCCTTGGATTTAATTCCATGTACAACTGAAAGTATGCAAAAACACTCACTATACATAAAAAAGTATTGGGCTCCCAGCTCAGAGGAGAGTCTGCCTCTCTCTCTACCCCTCCCCACCCTCCCTGCTTATGCTCTCTCTCTAATAAATAAAACCTTAAAAAAAAAGAAAAGAAGGCAAGAATAGCAATGCATCATAAGATAATGAACTATTAACAAAGCAATCACCCAGTTACAAACGCACGATGCTTGCTTTGAGGCATTCTGTCTAGCTGGAGGGGAAGCAATGGTTTCTTCTGGGCACCTCCAAGCAGCACCAATGAGCTCACTGCAGGGAAGTCTTCAGAGCAAACTTCCTTCCCCTTCCGGGCCAGGTGTAACTCTGGCGGGTGTGACACAGCACTTCGCTAAGTCGTCCCAAAGGTACACCTGAGATTCAGAGCTACTTTCTGTAGCTTCTGTCTCCACTTCACCAAGGTCTATAGGATCAATTTCTTGCAAATCACACCCTTCTTCAGCTGGAAGATCCCCCAAAGGCTGCTCAGCGGACTTCCTACGTCTCATGCGTGTGCGCAGTCTTGGGATGGGCCAGGTTGTCGAAGGTGCCGCAGAACTTCTTTGCTACACAGATCATAGACAATGGTATTCTTTCCACAGCTGATCTGTTTTTGTCTTTGCATCCAGACATGTTCATCGATTCCTAATTCTGTTAGTGCTGTGGATAGATGTACGCTCCTTTGAATCCCAACCTCCAGACGATGATTTTCTCCTTTCAAAGTCACTTATGAGAAGTTTTCTTTTATATCTTGAAATATCATTCACCTTCAATTATACTTCTGCAGTCTCAACATCTAGAATAGGGCTTAGGATTTCAGGAGTAGCAAAGTTCTCAAGTCTGTTATCTGTATTCCTATGTTCCTTTTTTTTTTAAAGATTGTATTTATTTGAGAGAGAGAGAGAGAGAGCGCGCGCACAGGCGGGCAGGGGAAGGGGGCAGCAGGAGAGGGAGAGAATCCTCAAGTAGACTCCCCGCTGAGTGCGGAGCCTAACACAGGGCTCTGTACTTTCTTCCAAGGGGTCATCTTGCCAGAGAATGTCAGCTCTGGCATGGAGGTGCTCAGGCTGCCACAGCCCACTTAGATGCTGACTGATCCATTTCTGATTTTTCTTTGTACCTGCCACTATCTTATATAAAACAGGTACCAGGGAGATGTTTGGGAAGAAAACAGATTGGTCAAGGCTATGAGATCCTACTTCAACAGACTGGCTCTGATTCCAATCAATTATGACTTTAGGCAACTTCAGATTTCTCTAACCAGCCCCTTCTTTAGCCCTCGGTTTTTTCCTGGGGCCTGGGGGAAAGTGCAATCTTTACGAACATCACATGCAAAGGACCAAAAATCAGATTTCTTTACAAGGAGATATTGGTAGAGCTCTGAAAGAAACAGGTAATATGCACAGTGGGGGCTAGGCTGGGTCAGGGCATTGCTATTCATATACATATACACAGTGGGGTAGGAACAACAGAGATTCGGCCTAAGAGAGAATAAGCACAAACATTAGCAACAGAATACAACATCCCAGAGAAAGCCACTTACACTCTGGAAGTGAAAAGAAAATTCAGGATTGTTGGGATAAAGGGCCTTAAAATGAAAAGACTGATGTACACAATGCTGGGGGAGAGGTGGGGTATAGTTTCACACCTTTAAGCTCAGCACATATTCCAAACTAAGAGAGAGTAAAGCTAAAAGAAGACGGCTTGATGAAAAACTTAAAATACACCATACCTAGAGAAGATGAACCAGGCAAGACTGTCCACAGAAACAAGTGTGTAGGACAACCGACCAATGGCTGGACTGGGATGGAAGAGGGATAATAAAAAAAGACTTTCTATCTTAAGCCCTCTTAAAAGAATTATAGCTTTTAGATTAGATTTACTTGGATTAATAAGAGCCAAAGATTTTTTTCTTTACTTATACATATATATGCACAAAAATACATGCACCCCACACAAAAAGTTATTTAGGAATTACTGGAAATTGAAAACTGGGGACGTGTTAACATTAAAAGAAAGCCTATGGGTACACAATCTAGAGGGAAAAGACAATGGACATCAAAGAGCAGAACAAAGGGAGAGAATGGAAAACAGCAAACGCACCATTTATAAAGTTTCTGTCAGTAAGAAAACTTCTAACACCTCTCAGATTTCCATCAAAACCAATTACAATAAAAACCATTTGTTGCTTAAAAGTCGGTTATTCCATCAACCTCATTCGGCGGCACTACCAGGTAAACGAGGCATCTCGGTCATGACTTGTCCACATCAACGTATCCCTAACAACAACAACATCAAACCTAAACTCCACATGTAACTTTTCCCTGAGTGCAGCTTCTGGAGCAGGGTTGTGTTCAAGGAACCCAGTGACGTTCACCATGAACACAGCCGGCCTCATGCTGCCCCAGGTGGTGGTACCGTCTGTGAACAGACTGCAAGCAGTGAGCAGAACTGCTGATCACCAGGTATTTATTTGTAAACAGCAAGGAGCCACCTTCTTGCCCAGACCTCTGGCCACTTGTCTGCCTCCTGTGGACTCGTCCACAGACACCAGCTGCCCATGTCATTCTTCACAGAACTGACGGGTACAGATTCTAATGGGAGCCCAGAACCAGGCCCACCTCTCACATAAGAAAGATCTTTGCTCAAGTTACAGTGAACTTCAAGTAAGGTCGACAGTTAAAATTAAGCACATGACTCAATTTAATCACTTGGGAAGATCCACAGACCAACGGCTCAAGCTAAAGAAGGAAGAGGGCAAGAACCCCTATGGGAACTGGAGCTGGTGGTGGCACGGCGGCCGGGAGCTGCCCTACCACCCGGCAGTCACCATGCTGTGTGTGCTGCGAACACGGGGAAGCGGTAAGGACTCCCGCTCTGCGCAAGAGGAAGAGGAGACCCAGCGGTGATTAAGTGACAGGTCCAAGGCCCCCGAGTAGGTGCCCGCGCCAGGACTCCAACCCCGGCGCACTCTAGCTCCACTGACAGTACTCAGTCCCCCACGCTGCGCCCCCCTCTCCAGAGCCGGCAGCCATCAAGACAATGATACCTGCGCTGGCCTGCGCAGGCTCGCAGGCAACGGATCAATTCAGAGTGGAAGATTAAAGTGCCTGGAAATAAGCATCAAAAATGCATCGCCAATTCTTGGCAACTCTCGTAACTAAGCAATCACCAAGATATTTAATAACTCGTCAAAGATGCTTTTTCATCACACATAAGAACTTAACTCCCTAAGAGGAAAGAAACAGAACTCTGAGACTTCTTTTTTTTTTAAGCAACAAGTGCATTTGTTTCCAAAACAAACATCTCAGACACCACACAGTATGGGGAAAATAATTCCCCATGTGGTGGGAACCTTCCCCACTACACACACGCACACCCAGTGCGCTAAGCACCCAACGGCTCTGCACAGTGCAGAGTGCAGCCTGGGAAATGCATCTGCTCTCGACACCGACATACTCCAAGGAGCTCCTTCCCGACGATGAGCAACATTTTCCTCTCTGCCAGCCAGCAAGCTTAACACTCTAACACATGGCTTTGAGGGATGTTTATATTAAAACCTTTGCCCAAAAAGAGCAAAGCCATGGCTGCAACAGGACCATATCTGAAGTAACAACATTCCACCAGCTGAGAGCAACTCGTGAATTTTAATAGGATAGATATACAAATAATGACAGTACAATAACGATAGTAAATATAAGAATGACGGTATCATTGCACAATAACAGCATAAAAATAGAGCATAATAATGATGGTCGCATGATTGGAAGGGTGATCAGATGTGTGGAAATCAGTACATTCTGTCTTTGTTGTCCGCATGTAAACAAACTGGCCTTGGCCAAGCACTTCAGTTGGGTCATCTACAAAATGAAGACTTTGGCAGTTGTGACAGCTGTCACCGCATGCTGGAACTCTGCCTCTAGACAGCTTCTCACCCTGTCAGACAGGACTACTGTGAAGGAGCGGCAAGCAGGATCCATCCGGGACTTAAGAATCAACAAGGCCATGGGAAACATAAAACAAAAAAGGCGAGTATTTTCTTCCCTTGAAAAGTTAATTAAGATTAAAGTGTTTTGATCTTTCTTCTATCACTTCCACATTCTTCCCACTATGAATAACATACTCAAAATGCAGCTACAATCTCAAATAACCTTCCTAGAACAAAATGAAACTTCATCACTCTGCCATGACAGAAGTCTAACCTATAGGGTGCCTGGGTGGCTCAGATGGTTAAGCGTTTGCCTTCGGCTCAGGTCATGATCCTGGGGTCCTGGGATCGAGTCCCACATTGGGCTCCCTGCTCCTTGGGAGCCTGCTTCTCCCTCTGCCTCTCTCTCTCTCTCTGTCTCTCATGAATAAATAAATAAAATCTTTAAAAAAAAAAAGAAGTCTAACCTATACAAGTGAAAATTCTGAAGCCAAGAATTTTTTTAAATGTGCATGGTTTTGATCCTTTCCCTCTTTCATAATCCCTGATACAAGTAAAGTCCTCCTGGCACAAGTCCTCGAGAAAGTGACGCATGTCAACGGCTTACAAGTCCAAGGTCCTTCTGGAGGTGCCCTCTCCTTGGTCCTTCCTCTGGGGGCACTGCTGACCCCACAAGAGCCTAAGAAACATGGTACAGCCACTGGCTCCTCCTCCCACCGATCACAGATCCTACATCATGTGCAGACTGAAGAAGCTTTTCACAACGTGTGCAACAAGGTCAGAGAATCTTCAAAAATTACCCAGATTAAAGTAAAACTGCTCGCAGAGAGAAATACAAAGTAGACTGCTTCTCCCTACCTCTTTGGATTCCTTTGTGTAACAAGCTCCAGCCATTCTTGTCGACCATGTCCACGTCAGCCTTGTGGCTAACCAGCGTGGTGGCAATACTCTCCAGTCGTCGTGACAGGGCTAGATCTAAAGCTAGGTCTCCGTTATGATCCACTTCATTCAGCTTCCCAGGGAGCTGCACAGATAAATTTGTAAATTAGTAACCAGCCAGTAGAGAATACAACTGATTTTAATCTCTCTCCCAGGTGGACTCTTACATATCATCTTTTTATATAAATACCAAATCTTAGTGCTGTAACACTACATACTCTCCAAATCCCAATGAATTCACAAACTTCTCTCGGGCCTCCTCAAGGCACATGCCTCCCAGGGAACAAAGAATTAATGGGATCACAGAGCAGACACAGACACCATGGAAGACAGTACAGGACCAAGAGGGAAATGCAGACAGTGTTATAGGAGCACAAAGGCCAGGGCTGAGGGTCAGAGCCTGATGGGAACAGGCTAACTTCTTCATAAAAGACTGTGGCTTAATATCTAATTCCCCACACAGCACGATGTCTCCCAGATGCTGGACGCCCAGGATAACGCACACTATGCTCCCATCTGCCAAGAGCAACTGCATTTCTTCATAGGGCAGTGAAGTCAGCAGAGCAACAGCCCCTAAAGATGTCTATGTCCTAGTCCCGGGAAACTGTGCCACCATCCCCGACAAAAGGGACTTTGCAGATGTCATTAGGTTAAGGACCTTGAGGGAACGCATCCTGCATTATCCTGGAGGGACCCACCTAATCAAATGTGTCCTTAGGAGGGAAAGAGGGAAGCAGAAGAGCAGGTCAGAAAGATGTGACCCGAGCACTTGATGCACCGTCCCTGGCTCAGAAGGAGGAGGAATGTGGTGGCCTCCAGAGGCCAAGAAGAGCTCCCAGCCGAGAACCAGCAAGGAAACGGGGACGCTGGTCCTCTAACCACAAGGAAGTAAATTCTGCCAATACCCCAAACGATCAGGAAATGGATTCTCTCCTACAGTCTCCCAAGAGGAAGAAAGCCTGCCAACACCTGAACTACCGGTGGGTGAGGCCTGCACTAGACTTCCAACGACAACACTGTAAGATAAAACATTTGTGTTGTTTTTAGCCACTAGGTTTGTGGCGATTTCTTACAACAGCAAAAGAAAACTAAAGCAGGTTTTGGTACCTGGAAGTCAGGTACTGCTCCAACACGACCTACACACGTGCAAGTGGCTTTGGAAATGGGCAGAGGCTGGAAGGGTTTTCAGGAGCGTAAGAGGAAAAGCTCAGACTGCCCTGAACAAACCACGCGCAGACGCATGTACATCAGAGACCGTGCTGGTGATGGCTCAGAGGGAGTGGGGGGCATTTTAGAAAAAAACAAGCAATGTATGCTTTTGGGAAAAAGCAGCAACAGTACCTGTGAGTCCATCTCAATGAGATAGAGGAAGACCACATCCTCTCGCTCTACTTTGATCGCCTTGTGTAACGGGTACTCGGTCTTGGATTTGATCATTTTGTACAACAGCTGGGCACTCATGCTACTGAAGTCTTCCTTCCGCAGGTCGTCCTGAGGACCGAAGGACAGTGAAAAGCAGAGCAGACCCAACACACCAACGGTAACAACAACAGATGCTCACGAAGAAGCCCTCAGAATGTGTCTGGCCCTACTTTAAAGGGCTTGGCATTCCCCACCACTAGTTCACACATGAAGAAGGTCAAGTACGAAGGGGCTCAGTAACTCTTGCTCGGGTTCACACAGGGAGTAAAAGGCCGAGCCAGGAACCAGAGCCGGAACCGTCCACCGCAGCCCCACTGTGGGACAGCGACACTGTCACCCACCCAGGACACCGCAAGGAGCCCCGCAGGGGGGCGGGGAAAATAGGGTCCTCACCCCCTACAAAGATGGTAGCTGCGGAGTTCATCGGAATTTCCAGAGGTGAGTCCCCCCCAGTCACAGGTGGTCTCCACTACTGCAAATCTCTGTATTTCTATCTTAGCAGAAAGAATGCCACTCCTGTTTGAATTCTTTACAATCCAATTATTTTAGGCACCTTTTCTCACAACGTTGTTAAGTACAAAACAATTTGTAGGAACTAGCTTATAAAACATAGCACTAGACATGATTTTTTAAAAAATGCAAAGACAACAAAGCAATGCAAAAACTGTTCTTTATGACGAACACCTGCGAAGAAGAGCAAATCGAAACTTAACGATGCTCTCCGGGTGCTGGACAGCCCAGAGATGCCCTGAAACAGCACTGCTGAGCACCCCAGGCCTGCGGGCAGCTTCTGCAGACAGAGGGAGCAGGCAGGTGTCCCTCTGTTCCAAGCCTGTTTCTTAACCTGAACTAACTTCTGCCTCTCTACTCTCAAATGGGAATGAGACTTTCAGAGCCCAGAAGAATCTCACATGGCATCTAACCAAGTAGGAGCCAGAGAGGTAACTTTCCACAGAAGCAGGCCCGAGCCCAGGTCTCCGGCTTGCTGTGAGGGTGCTCTGCTCACACCCCTCAATCTCTCACTCACCCAATGACTGGCAATAATTTCTGCACAATAGTTCATCAGCGTGCTGGCACTCAGCTCCTCCGCAGTCTGATAGAAGCGAATACAATTCCTGACGTTCACCAGAGACATAACACTCTTCTCACATCTGCAAGAGAATATTAATGATGAACAGCATCATTAGGACAAACAGATTCATAAATGAACAAATCAAAGCTATAATTGGTATACTGGCAGTCTATGTCCAGTAACGCTAACGTACAAGATAAGCAGAGGAGTTAGGAATGATTTACAGCTGAGCTACCACATTTTAAAAGTACAAGAATTGCATTATACCACATTGACCATTCTGGTCAGAATCAAAATAACCTCTAAATAAACATGATAAGCATAACCCCCCCCCAACTGACTTATAAGTAATCCGATGAAACTCACTAATCATACACAGGCACCTGCAAAATGAAACACATGACAGGTCAAATTCACTCCTTTAATATTTAACTGTACAGGACATGGGTGCAGTTCCCACGAGCACAGCTCTGTTATGCCACCAGTGAGGCTTCAGATTAGCTTCAAACAGGAGGCTCTATGTTTGCTCAATAAATTAACATCTCCGAAAAGTTCTCCCGAAGGTGAACTGTACGGTATGTGAATTATCACTCAATAAAGCTGACACTTAAAAGCCCACTAGAAAATGGAGACACAACTGAGTTTCACCCATTATACCCACAGTATACACCCAGTGAACCCACAGCACACCCATAGATACCCAGGTACTGCCTGCCATCCTAACGTCCTACCGCAGGGACTACTGACTCATATTTGCAGAGGTCTTTGCAAAGCACTTTGACAGACAAATCCCCTTCTCCTTTCTGCTGCCAAATGACATTCGTACCAAGATACTCAAATGTGTTTCCCGAAGGCAGACATTTTGTTTCAACCAGCAGAAAACTTCATTTTCACCCTCACCGGGTGAAAATGCCATTCACTACTCAGAAAGCGTGTAACTAGTAACCGACATGGCTTACGTAACATAAATTTACATTTACATAGAAGACCATGTCATCTTTTTTTTTTTTTTTTTTTAAGATTTTATTTATTTGACAGAGAGAGACACAGCGAGAGAGGGAACACAAGCAGGGGGAGCGGGAGAGGGAGAAGCAGGCTTCCCGCCGAGCAGGGAGCCCGATGCGGGGTTCGATCCCAGAACCCCGGGATCATGACCCGAGCCGAAGGCAGACACCCAACCGACCGAGCCACCCAGGCGCCCCAAGACCATGTCACCTTATTTAAAAATTCAGATTCTTTTTTTTTTTTAAAGATTTTATTTATTTATTCATGAGACACAGAGAGACAGAGAGAGAAAGAGAGAGAGAGAGAGGCAGGCTATGCGGGACTCGATCCCAGGACCCCGGGATCATGACCTGAGCTGAAGGCTGACGCTTAACCGACTGAGCCACCCAGGCACCCTAAAAATTCAGATTCTTAGTTCTTATCTTCTCTTTCAACAGTAGCAGGACAGACTAACTTTCCTCTGAAGCAATTTTGTTGTTCATACATGTTTTTAATTTTAGAGCACTAAAAGGATATAGATGTACAAAAACAATTTTCAAAGTACAAAATCAAGCCTGTATTAAGCATCTCACGAACTTCTGTCTGGTTTCAGTATCACTCCCATGTGCATGAATAGGAGGTGTGGAAAAGGTACTGACAGGAGAGACAACAAAACGTTAACAGTGGCTGAATTACAGATAACTTAGGGCTTTTTCTCTGTATTACTCTATATTTTCCAAATGCCATATGCTGAGCTTGTATTTTATAATCAGGAAAACAACTATTATAGCAACTATCAATTTTTAGCATTTACTATTAATTCTCTTAAAAAAAAAAAAGTATCTTTCTGATAATACTTAGCAAAAAAAACCTCCTTTTCATCAAACTGGTGATAGCAATCCCAAACCTCCACGATCCCGACATTACAAACGTGAGTGACACCTACTTCATACTGACCTGCACACATTTGTGACAACCCTTCACTTACTATCTCAGATGTGTGATTCCGCCTGTGCACAGCAGTGGGCACTCTGCGACCTTTTAAAAGCCGACATTTGACCTCCGCCCACCCTGTGTCTTCCAGTGCCACAGCAAGAGATAACAACTTAATGCCCACACCCAACGGTACAAAATTGAGCATCTGGTAATGTTGATGACTAAGAAGCCTAACCAGTCAATAAACAAACATTTTAATTAAAGAATCCATTACACAAATTACAATTACCTAAACTACTCCAACCCCAAGGCATTTTTATCAAAGCAATTTAATTTACAGGCAAGTTTGACAAGGTCAATGGAAAAAAGCTCAGTAAATCTGGAAAAAGAAAAGATACAAATCATATCCAATCTAATTAAAATCATTTTCAATTCACTCAGATGGTTCAAACACCCAAACAAACCAAAGAGTTCACAGCAAGGCCTCCACGGTCAAGTTAGCTTTGCTAACTGAATACTGTATGTGCCTACCTTAGACCTGTTTGGGTTTTGTTGTTGTTGTTGTTATTGGATTTAGATATTAAAATGCACTCAAAGCTGACCTCAATCATAGAGCGTTAGGAGGAACCTGCGTAACTCATTCACGTGGGGCATGGCGGCCCGGTAAACACCAGCCCTGTGGTGGAAAGAGCAAGCTGCTCTAGGCTCTCTGAGGGCAACACAACAGGGGGAGTACCTCTTGATGGTAGAAACCATCCCTTCACTCACCTAGAAGAAAAGCCACTCCTGCAGCACCCAAGGGGATACAAAAGATCACTAAATGATGTAAAAGACATTCCTCCAACCAAACTGACCACCAAGAGCCACATCCCCAACAGAAACCAGAGGGCATTTTGCATGACATCATAGGGGTGACATTGTGTCTTCTGTTGCTCTGGAAGGCCGACTTGGGAGAGCAACAGAGAAAATGCAATATAAAAAAACACAGCAGGCTATCTCCTTGGGAACCTAAAAAGCAGTAACAAATGAAATAAGAGCTCAGAAACACTGTCCCTGAAACTTAATGAGCTGTACTCTTGTGTATTAATTCAGGTATTAATGAGTTTCTAACAAAAAGAATATGACCAAGGACTTCACCAAGTACATATATCACATCACAAAGCAGAATAAATGTCACAAGAAGTGGTACTGGAGGGAAAGCTGAGGGTTTGGACACTATAATCTGAATTAGTTCATATTCAGTTTAGCAGCTCATACAATTATGTAATCCCAGGTTTAAAAAAAAAAATCAGTGAAAGAAAAGAGAATACCTAAAAGCTTTGGCAAAATTTAGCTTACAAAGTAACACAAAGCAAGGGAGGTAAAATTCTCTCCCCACTACTGCCTTTAAAAGAACACCTTGCAAAAGTCATTTACATTAGCAGAAGAAGCTGTTTTCCCAGAGCTTGGCATAATTAAAGCTCAGCCACCACCATGTGAGGTGCTTGAATAGATGTGCTGTGACTTGCCTCTCCCTGAGGAGCTGTAGCTGAAACCGATTCGCCAGCTTCATCAGCTCAGTCAGGAACACGTCATCTTCTCTGAACTCCAGCTCATCCGTGTAGATCCAGCGGAGCATCGTCCTTGTCACCTCAGGGTTAGCATCTGGTTAAGGAAAGACAGACACTGAAAACAAAGCACGAATGACACACTTAAGTCTGCTTGAGGATCCCTAAAATTTCAGGCTAATAGAGTAAATTCTGGTACCCTCAACTCAAAGAAATATCATGCAGCCATCAAAAATGGCAATTAAGCATTCTGGGCAGCATCTAACTTCAGAAAAATGTTCAAGTTTTACAAAGGGTGGTAAGTAAGAGAAGTAAACTAAAGACGTAAGTCAAGCGGTGCCTGCGTAGCTCAGTCGGTTGAGCGTCCGATTCTTGATTTCAGCTCAGGTCAGGATCTCAGGGTTGTGAGATCAAGCCCCACATTGGCGTGGCACCTGCTTAAGATTCTCTCTCTCCCTCGCCCCCATCCCCTTCCCTACACCCCCCTTAAAAAAAATAAAATAAAAAGATGTAAATCAAATAAATTGGGGGAAAATATTTTGAATATAGGACAAAGAGTTTATATTCCAATGAAAAGATCTTATAAATAAACATGAAAACATGGATAACCAATGGGAAAATGGGCAACAGCTATGAATGGTAATTTACAAAGTTAACTAAAAATGTTCGGTAAACCTTTACCAGTAGCTACAAACACAAAACTAGAATATATTTTTTTGTCTCTCAAAGATTCCTAAAAAGTACATAACCTCTTACACATCAATTATACATGTAGATTATTACCCTAATAACTGAGCAAATACAGAGAAATATGTATACTAAGACAGTCAAGATAGTATTATTATTATTATTTTTTTAAAGATTTTATTTATTTACTTGACAGAGACAGAGATAGTGAGAGCAGGAACACAAGCAGCGGGAGGGGGAGAGGGAGAAGCAGGCTTCCCCCCGAGGAGGGAGCCCGATGTGGGACTCGATCCCAGGACCCTGGGATCATGACCTGAGCCGAAGGCAGACGCTTAACGACTGAGCCACCCAGGAGCCCAAGATAGTATTATTTTTAATAACAAAAAACTGGAACAAAAATCTTGAAGATTTTTTCAAAAAATTTTTCAAAATTTTCACACTGGAAAATTTTGCATCAATTAAAATTATTTAGAAAGGCTAAAAATACATGTATTAAATGATCTCATTTTTTTGAGATCTGTGTATATATATATGTGTATGAGTATGTATACATACACAAACACAAAGCTTTGTGTCTGTTTCCCATCCAAATAGTAACCAGATCCAACCCTGTTTAGCTTCTAAGATCAGACAAGATTGAGGACATTCAGGGTGGTATGGCCATAAACAGACGATCAGTCTTTTTTTTTTTTTTTTTTTTAAGTAATCTCTACACTCAACATGGGGCTCAAACTGATTACTCCAAGGCCAAGAATCACACGCTCGACACACTCCACCGAATGAGCCAGCCAGGTGCCCCTGTCTATCTGTTGAGACACTGGAAGGATATACACTAAAATATTAACCCTGGTAGGATCTACTAATTTTTCTTTGGGCTTATTTTTTATTTCTCTGATTTTTTTTAGAGGAGGAGGAGGGACAGAGGGAGAAGGAAAGAGAGAAAGTTAAGCAGGCTTCACACCCAGCGTGGAGCCCGACGTGGGGGCTTAATCCCAGGACTCCGGGATCATGACTTGAGCTGAAATTAAGAGCCAGATGTTTGACTGAATGAGCCACCCAGGCACCCTGATTCTGTTTTAAAATTTAGCTGGTTTCCTTTAATAACCCTCCCCCAATTATCCAAATCAATAAACTTGACAATTAATAAGTCAAAACCTAAATAATTTTTTTTTTTTAAAGATTTATTTATTTGACAGAGAGAGAGACAGCGAGAGCAGGAACACAAGCAGGGGGAGTGGGAGAGGGAGAAGCAGCCTTCCCGCGGAGCAGGGAACCCGATGCAGGGCTCGATCCCAGGACCCTGGGATCATGACCTGAGCCGCGGGCAGACGCTTAACAACTGAGCCACCCAGGCGCCCCCCTAAATAATTTTCTTAAAAACCACAATCAGCAGGGATTTCCTGGAGCCCTCAAAACTTCAAATGACGTAAAGTTCAAGTGACCTCCAAGCATTTCCACTCCTGCCTTGACTCTTCCCTTCATCTCCAAACTACAGTGAAAATAAATTCATTCTGAGACTCTGACTAAGCAGCCATGGGTACAAGGTGGGCAAAGAGCACTGAGCCAGGAGGAGGGCATGTGCTCTTAGGCGAATCATGCAGTCTCCTGCTACCAATCTACTCACACAAATGGCTGTTCAATTCGATGAGCCTATAAACCAGGAGGAGACGCAAAGGAATAGATAGACTCTGAGAAATGAAGCCATTTGGCCTCCATGACCTGTGTGGTATACCTGCTGCGAGAGACAGTCACCCCTCAGCCCTCAGCAGGCCCAGCACACACAGCAGGCCCAGCACACACGCTGGTAAAACTCTGTGACTGCAGGGATCAAAAGAAAAAGAACACCTCAACTTCTGACTTCACAGTAGTCCAGGGTACACAGAGCCACACTTTGTAGAGAACTTGAGATTTTCTATATGGCCAGGTTTTCTGGTTGTAGTTTTGATTTGATTTTTTAAAAATGTTTTATAATACATTTGGGAAAAATGGGAATAAACTTATTGGTAGGCAATTAGCCATTAAATGAAGCATACTGAGGAAATTAATTTCGTTACTTAAATCCTATATTTATTTATTTATTTTTAAGATTTTATTTATTTGACAGAGAGACACAGCGAGAGAGGGAATACAAGCAGGGGGAGCGGGAGAGGGAGAAGCAGGCTTCCCGTGGAGCAGGGAGCCCGATGCAGGGCTCGATCCCAGGACCCCGGGATCATGACCTGAGCTGAAGGCAGGTGCTTAACAACTGAGCCACCCAGGTGCCCTTAAATCCTGTATTTAATCTAAAATACTGAGAAAAGTATCTTGAATATCCTACTATGACTCTGGTTTAACTCAATTGTCTTCAAGTTTCCAACTATTTTTTCTTCATTTACTTTACACAAAAGTTTTTGATTCATAAAATTAAAAAATTGTGATAGACAGCATCTTTTATCAGTAAAAGCATGCTCTTTAGTCATTTTAAGGATGCACCCTTAACTATAACTTCCTGGGAATAAAAATAAACCCCAAACCATACTTCTAAATCATCCCTGTATCAAAAAGGAATAAAAGGACAGACGTTCTAGCTCTGTCTCGACAGGGTAACAACCCATCCCATTTTAACTGATTATAGCTAAAAACAACTACCTGATGATTCTAAAAGTACACAAAAGTAGCTGAATTGTAGAGGGAGGAAGACTTGAAGAAGCAACCCTCCTGAATGGTGACCATGCAGATGCCTAACCCTCTAATAAAAACTCCATCTTTCTGGCCAGGTGCACCAAGAAAAGAGGCCTTGGGGAGCTGAAGAGCAAGGGAAATCTCCTCATTTTGCGTATGAACAAAGGCTCACCTCTGAGATACTCATGTATGGAAGAGTCCCAGCCTAGCTTCAAGAATTGCAGTGAAAGCGGTACCTGGGTGGCTCAGTCGTTAAGCGTCTGCCTTTGGCTCAGGTCATGATCCCAGGGTCCTGGGATCGAGCCCCGCATCAGGCTCCCTGCTCACCGGGAAGCCTGCTTCTCCCTCTCCCACTCCCCCTGCTTGTGTTCCCTCTCTCGCTGTGTCATTCTCTATCAAATAAATAAATAAAATCTTAAAAAAAAAAAAAGAATTGCAGTAATGTTTGAGCCACTACCCACAGAAGGTGAAACAACTTTCAGTCTGAATTTAGAGATTCAATATTTTCCAGAGGATGATACAGGACCCAGAGTCTACAAAACATAATCACAATGTTCAGGATACAATCCAAAATCATTTGATAGAAAAAAAAAAAATCAGGAAAATATGACCATTTCTCAAGGCAAAAGACAACATATTCTAACCCCAAGATGACCAGATATTGAATTTATCAAAGACATGAAAGCATCTGGTGTACTATGCTCCAGAAGGTAAAGGAAAACACACATAAAATTTTAAAAATAGAAATTTTCAGCATATAAACTAAAAAAGGAACAAGTGGAAATTACAGAATGAAGAATACAATATATGTAACTAAAAATTCAATGGGCTCAACAGCAGAATGAAAATGGCAGCAGAAAAAGTCAGCAAACTTGAAGACAGGCAAACAGAAATTATCCTATCTGGAGAACAGAGAGAAAAATAAGATTGGGAGGGAAAAAGGAGCTTCAAAGACTTGTGGGATAGAAACAAAGGTCTAGGATGTGTGTCACAGGAGTCTCAAAAGGAGAGAATAGGGGTATATGTGTGGCTCAGTCGGTTAAGCGTCTGCCTTTGGCTCAGGTCATGATCCCAGTGTCTGGAAACTGAGTCATGCTCCCTGCTCAGCAGGGGGGAGGGTGGTTCTGCTTCTCCCTAACCCTCTGCCCCTCCCCCCTGCTCACGCACACTCTCTCTAATAAATAAAATCTTTAAAAAAAAAAAAAGGAGAGAATAAAGAGATCAAGAAAGAAAAATATTTGAAGAAATGATGGTCAAGAACATTCCAGATTTGGTGACAGACATGAAGTTTTAGATTTAAGATCAAGTAACTCCAAGCAAGAATAAAATCTATACCTAAGCACCTAATAATCAAATTGCCACAAACTAAACATAAAGATAGTCTTGATCACTTCGCACCCACTAGAATGGCTACTATCCAAACCAACAAACAGAAAATCACAAGTGTTGGTGAGGATGTGAAGAAACTGGAACCCTTGTACACCACTGGTGGAAATGTAACATGGTATATAGTCCCTATGGAAAACAGTATGAGAATTCCTCAAAAAATGAAAAATGGAATTATTATATGACCCAGCAATTCCACTTCTGGATATGTATCCAAAAAACTGAAAGTAGGATCTTGAAGAGATATTTGCACATCCATGTTCACAGCAGAATTACTCACAATAGTCAAGAGGTAGAAGCAACCCAAGTATCCATCAGGGGATGAATGGATAAATAGAATGTGGTATACAAACACTGGATTAT